TCATAGATAGTAGTGTACTTGGAATAGGACTACGTGTCCAAGGAGTTTCAGTTATTGGATCAGTTGATCCTTTAGCTATGCTGATGGGTTGTTTTCCTGGGTACCTGATGATACATTTGATAGGTCGGATGGTTCTCTCGATTACAGTCGTGGGTGTTCAACGATGATGTAGCTATTAAAGGCAGTAGTTATCAAAGATGGTTTTAAGGGTATCTTTGAGATAGCGAGTTGAGCTCGTATGGTGGTTCGTAGAGCAGTTTTGTAACCACTATTTTGTGGGCTTTAGGGTGTTTGGCACGAATTGTGTGAGGCGCTACTAGTTGGACCTATCGTGTATGGGACCCAACCGCTTTCTGGTGGAATATCTCATGTTGACCACGTTAGTGCAATTTTGTGTATCGGATTGGTTTTGACCTAGGTTGAGTGTTTTTCCTTGATCTCACATGCAAGAGTTGATAGTTGAGTGTTGTGGCAACTTAGATTGAAGGATTCTTTCTCTTCATGTGGGTTAACTGAAGTCGTTAATTGTGGATTTAGTACCGACTAGTGGTGTGTTCTAGTTTGAAGGATGACGATCTTAATGGTTCTCAGGGGTCAGGACTCGGTGGAGTCACGGAGTTTAGCTGGGGGTTATGCTTCGTGTGCTTGGCATGTGGCGATAGAGAATTTTGTTCAGCATGGGGTGTACCTTTACGCCCAGTTGGTTTTATGTTGGGATGTTGTGAGAAATGAGTGCTCCCATAGGGTGGTGAGAATTGAGTTTTAATGGCAGTGGTTTATGATTGCCTGGTGACATATAGTGTTAAAGGTAATAAATTTGTGAGCTGGTTTTCCTTCGGGTTCTGCGCGATGTTCTCCGGGTAAGAAGAAGGTTGTGGGTCTCCTTCATAAGGAGGGTAGATTTCGAGAACGAAATCTCTTTAAGGATGGTAGATTGTAATATTTTTGTTTTTCTCCATTTTTCATTTTCTGGAATTTTTCGTCTTTGCAAAGACATTTTTGTCTTTTCTCGTATTGCGTACGGGACACCATGGGGTGTGCCGGGAGTGTCCGAGAGTTAGTTGAGACATTTCCTTGCGTTTAGGACTCTTGGAAATGCACCGGTTTTCTTTTCGGCATTTTTTCGTTTTTCAAGCCAAAAGGTCCCGGGTGGGACCCGCTACCGGAATTGTTGCGTACGGGGGTTTTGTTTAGGTCCAATTGCATCTCATTCATTTTTAATTATTGTGTTTTAAGTGGTTATTATATGGCTTGTGTGTATATATATAATTGTGGTGGAAAATTAAAAAGGGAAAAGTCAAAAGTAGGATATTTTCTAGTGGGGAGACCCACCACCCCATTATTTTAGTGGCCAAGAGGCCAATATGGCCTCATTTGTTTCTCTCTCCCCGTAAAAACACTCTCCTCTCTCTCTCTCTCTCATTTCTTGGTTTTTTCTTCTTCTTTTTTTCACAACAAAAATTCAATCTTCAATTACTTTCTCAATTTTGAGAATTTGTGGGTGCCATTTGCGGCAAATCGATGAGCTTGCTGAGATCTACGCATTGATTGGAGCAAATCACACTTTTGGCCAACCTAGGGATTTCGAAAATTGAGCTTGGAATTGGGGCTTTTGCTTCAAATTGAGGTAGATTTTGTTTAATTGATATTTTCCTTAAATTGGGTAGTTGATTGGATATTTTGGCCCTTTTTTAGCATGTCAATTTGATGCCAAAATATATAAATTGTTTTTAGGGTTCTTGGTTGGTACTTGAGTTGTTGAATTGAAATGATAATGTGGTTAGATGATTATCTTGTATATAAATTGCTTATGACATGCTAATATCTTGTCTCGGAAATGGATTATATGCCTCTTTTATATAGTTGTGGTGATGTGCTTGGTTAGTCATATACAAAAAATAATGATTCCTTATTTATAGCATGTTATAATTGTTAATTGATGATGTTGTGACCTTAAAATTGTTTATTATGTTATGGAAACATTTTCATATGCATGGCATGATGGTGGTTATGGGCTTATAAGTTATGGGAAATTGAGGGGTGGATATAATGGTGTGGAGGTGGTATATGGACATATGAGTTGTGAGATTTGGTGTATGGTTGCATTGGGGCATATCATGCATTGCAAGTGTAAGTAGATAGTAGTGATGATTACTTAAAAAATGAATATGTAGTGTAAGGATCCCTCGCATGATCCCCGACTCTTTTTACTATTCTTTGTTTGTAAAACATGTAATTACTTACCTTGCTTGAGGAGATGCCAATTAGGCATTCTCTACTGGGCCTTGTGCTCACCCCTTTATATTTTTTCAAGTCATAAGAAAAAAGTGGCGGATGACAATCCCCCACAAGCATGAAGGGATTGGAAGTGTGTTTTGCACCATTTTGTATTTTGAACCCATTTCTTGTAAAGTATCGTGATAAAGATGTATTAAGCTTGCTTAGCAAGGCCTTGTAGTATAATTATGTACCTTGATATCATTTTGATGTAAATTGAATTAATTGCAAAGACTAGGTCATCATATATGAAATAAGTTAGAAAATGATGTTGCATTGTACTAAAATGTTAATAATTATAACCATGGGATATTGCTTACCATTATACAGTGTATTAGAATAGGTTTAGATCAGTTTTCAAGACTCCCACCCAAGCCATTGCATATTTTCTCATTTTTAGCAATTCCTGTAGCTGAGCAATAGCTCACAGAGCCATTTCGGTCGATAGAAATGGGCACTTCAGTTGACCGATTCTTCCAGTAGCCTCGGAACATTTTTGGTTCACAACCGGCCTACCGAAATGACCACTTTGGTCCACCGATACATGGGGGTTCACTTTGGTCAACCGAAGCCCCACTTCGGCCGACTGAAATGTTGCTGCTTGGTTCACTTTGTTCCTATCTTCCTGTATAATTCAGCTTAAGTGTTGGGAAGTCGTTTAGAGCTTTCATGAAGTATATTAAAGATTTAAGAATGTTGTTTTTGACATTAGACATGACGGGATTGACGTAGGAAACCTCAGGTTTGGGTAAGGACCCGGTTAACGGTTCGAACCTACGGGTTCGGGTCGTTACATGTACTGATATTGTTGTTATTCCCATGATCCCGTTTCTTAATTTTCCTCTTCATTGATTACTACTCACGGGGTTTTAAGGAGTGTATTTTAGACTATTTCTATTAAACTCTTGAACTCACCCTATTATATATATATATATCATCTGAACTCAAAGGATTTGAGGGTCCGATCACGAATATGGAAGCGATGTGATAAATTTTTTAGTTCAGGAAGTTATTTAACTTTTAATGGAGTTTTTTTTGCACAATTTTAAAAGTGGAGGGGAGTTATGTGATTTTACCCCCTTTTAGAAATATATTAGAAATCGAGGGTCAAATATTTCTAGAAACTTGAAAAATTGAAACCTTGATTATTCATGTCACATATAATGAGAATATAAGAGAAGGTAGGTGTGCTGGTGGGAGAAATGAACCAATTTTACTGCTCTTAATGAATCTTTGAGCAAGGATACTTTGGTAATTTCATGTGTAACAATAACAAAATTATGTGACATTTAACAATGTGTTTTTCTACCCTTTCTATTCGGGCTTCCATTAAACTGCCTTCCAAAGGCTTGAAACTGGGCCTTTCTAGACTGACTTCATGGGATTCTATGCTATGGGATTTGGGCTAGGATTTTGGCCAGATCCCCGGAAAATTCAGGCCATACTAGGCCCATTCCTAATAAGTTTTTTTTTTTCTTTTTTTTTTTGGGAATGTGAAGCTACCATTCCTAGTAAGTTGTTTGTAAGCAACTATAGTCTCCTCTATCACACTAGGACATAATTCAAGCTTAATAGTATGAATATAAAGATCCATCCATGGAATGCTCTCTTGCTAATCACAAGCCTATCTTTTAACCACATGTGCTCCTGGACTTACAATGCAGTTTTTGGTGGGTTTCTAGTATATAATTTCTCTCGTCTTTCTGTGATGTTGTAGTTAGTGACAAAAAGGGAATAAAAAATAAAAATAAAAAAGGTAAGAGAGAAAAAATAAGAACAAAATTGTCATGTGAAACAAAAAAAAAAAAAAAAAAAAAAAAAAAAAAAAAAAAATTCTACTCACCTTCTCCTTGTATTTTATTTCCCTCCATATTGAATCTCTGCATCAAATTTGAATGCAGTTTTTAGACCATCACTGCATTGAATCAGCATCAAAATTTCTGTCATTGTACACCAGAAAGAGACATTAATGTTTCAAAAAAATTAAAAAATATGATATCTCTTCTGATGCAGAGCTGATAATTATCTAGTAGTCCCCGTATTATTTATTGTCTTCCCTATCTATCTTTTTGTCAGTCAAAAAAATGAATTTAATAACGGAGTATTGGAATAAACAAAATATTCAAAGATATTGTCTGATCATTATTACCCACTCCGGTGTGCACGGCATGAGGGGAGGAGTCTTAGGGCAGGCCCGGCAGGGGCATTATATGAGAGTTATATAAATATATATATAGTTCAACAATGACATTGACACAGATTATGTTTCAACAAAACAGACAATTAAAACTGGAGAAAGTTTTGTAATAGTGAATCAAACAAAAAAAAAAAAAATTCAACTTGACAAGAACATCATATGTTGATCTTAGTTTTCTAGGCAATAAGACTTGTAAAAACATCAGAGCATTTCTGTTTTATCCAGCATTTGTTATTTCAGTCATTTCTTATGTTAATCGATAGCAGTTGATAAATGTTCACGAGAGGTTAATTTGACAAGTGATAGAGCTACTGCAAGTTCCTATATATATATATTATTAAACCTTATCCTATATATATGGAAAAATTAGCAATGAATGGTGTTGTAATGACAGTGAATGCATATAACAACCCTCACCAGCCCAACTTTGAAGCTCCTTATTCAGCTATTTCTCTCAACAATTAGAGAGTTTTTGAGAGAGAAAGAGAGGACCTTCCTTCCTTTTTGATACACAAAATAGTAGGAGATGTGGTCAGAAATTGGATTGAGCATTGTAACATGGTTCATTATATTCATAACTCACTGGTTATACAAGTGGAACAATCCCAAATGCAATGGAGTTTTGCCTCCAGGTTCCATGGGTTTCCCTCTCATTGGAGAGACCCTTCAGTTGATTATTCCCAGTCGCTCCTTAGACCTCCATCCATTCATCAAAACCAGAATTCAAAGGTAATATATTTATATACACGTGTATAATGGCTTGCACATCGGTGAGCAAGAAACTTAACACTAATCATTAGATATACATGATTGTTATGATTTGTTTTTCAGTAACTACCTTTTGTTTTACACACAACATATTCAACTGTTACTATGCTTAATTGGTGTGGAAGAAAGTTTCGGAATATCTAACTTTGTTCGTTTGTTGAGATTCAGATGCTAAAAACTTCAAGAAATATATTACAAGTTGCTAAATTACCAGCAGATTATCGAAACTGAACAATGAACTAATCCATTGTCTTGAAGAAGTAGACTCAAAATATAGTAAAAAAAAAAAAAAATCATTTGAAAAAAAAAAAGTTCGTTGTTTTGTTTGGTTGAATGTACATACCATCAGAACAAAAATTAATTAAAAAAAAAAGGGCTTTAGGAATTCACAGAGGTTCTACTTGTTAGGACTTTCTCTATGATAAATTAGAGCAGCAATTTGACTCATTAATCAATTTATTCCAGATATGGACGAGTGTTTCGTACCAGCTTGGCAGGGCGACCTGTGGTAGTATCGGCTGACCCTGAGTTCAACAACTTCATCTTCCAACAAGAAGGGAATTCTGTTGAAATGTGGTACTTGGACACTTTCTCTAAGATTTTTGAACTGGATGGTGAAACTAGGATGAACTCATTAGGTTCCATTCACAAGTACATAAGAAGCAAAGTGTTGAATCATTTTGGTGCAGAGTGCCTCAAGGAAAAGTTGCTTTCTCAAGTAGAAGAAATAGTTCAGAAAACTCTACGCATTTGGTCAAGCCAAGCATCCATTGAAGTGAAACACGCCACTGCAACCGTAAATTCCAAGGCCTATACCTTGAATATATATATATCTATATATATGCTTGCTAACTCATGTTATGCTTATAACAAAACATTGTTTTGGCAATACAGATGGTTTTCAATTTTACTGCAAAACAGATGTTTAGTTATGATCAAGAAAAATCGTCGGAGCAGATAAGTGACACTTTCACCAATTTCTTATATGGTCTAATGTCCTTTCCTCTGAACATCCCTGGTACTACGTTCCACAAGTGTATGAAGGTAGAACAATCTAAATCCCCCCTCCAAATCCTTCTCAACCAAACACACACACACAAACACGCATATATTTGTTCTAAATGATTGAGCTTGATTTTGATTCAGGACAAAAAGAAGATGCTGAATATGATAAAGAATATGCTAAAGGAGAAACAAACTTCCACTGAGACATGCAAAGGGGACTTTCTTGATCAAGCCATCAAAGACTTAAATTCCAAAAAGTATTTGACAGAGGATTTTATAGTTTTGTTAAGCTTTGGAGCTTTATTTGCCAGCGTTGAGGCAATATCAACAGCACTTACCCTAGCTTTCAAGCTGATTTCGGAAAACCCTTCAGTTGTAGAGGAACTGAGAGTATGAATACCTACAATTCACTTCATTTTGAATTTTTAATCTAGTATTTTGGTGTGTTTATGCAAACTCTTGGATGGTTTTTCAGGCTGAGCACGAAACAATTCTTAGAAACAGAGAAACTTCGGATTCTGCACTCACATGGAACGAATACAAATCAATGACTTTTACTACTCAAGTCAGTTCTAAAATCTCCATATTCTCACTTTGATTCTAAAGGTCATTGTCTTCTCTTCCTAACTTCTTCTTGTCATGTGGACATCGCAGGTTATTAACGAAATTCTTAGGCTGGCAAATATGGCTCCAGGGTTTTTAAGAAGAACATTGAAAGATATCCAAGTAAATGGTATAATTAAATTCAGTTCAAAGTCTCTACTTTGTAATTCCAAGAAATATTATATGCCATTTTATATGATTTTAAGCATTGGATAACTGCTTTCCAGGTTATACAATTCCGGCAGGTTGGACCATTATGGTTGCAACTCCTGCTCTTCAACTAGATCCTAACACATTTAAGGATCCACTTGCATTTAATCCGTGGCGTTGGAAGGTGCATAATCTAATCTGAAGCTTAATTGTTTCGTATTTCAATATTGTTAACAGATGTTTACTGGCATTTGATACCCATCCATGTATTTCTTTTCATTCATGGATCTTGTATGAAAATAGGACCTCGACTCAATAGTTATATCCAAGAATTTTATGCCTTTTGGAGGAGGGATGAGACAATGCGCAGGTGCAGAGTACAGTAAAGCGTTCATGGCCACATTTCTCCATGTTTTACTCACCAAATATAGGTCAAATTTTTTTTTTTTTTTTTTTTTTCATCGCTATATATATATATATATATATATATATACGCGCTAGAGAAGGCCAATTTTTACGCTCAAGTTTGTTCATAGCTTTTTTTTTTTTCCTAGTTGGTATTCACACACATTTGTCTCTTTTGAGACTTGAACCCTTGACATCCTTTTGGGAAGTAAAAAACTGGTACTGCTAGGTCACTGTTTGTTTATAGCTTTTATTTATGGGGTTTTCAATAGGTGGACCAAAATCAAGGGAGGAGACGTGGTTCGGGCTCCTACTATAGGGTTTGGCGATGGCATTCAAATAAAGGTTTCGGAAAAAGCATGATTATGATTATCTGTATGAAATAATGTGATCCGTCACATGTTAATCAGTAGAATTTTGTGGGGGGTTCTTTCTTTTTTCTTTTTTTGTTTCTTATTATGTGAAAAATAATTGTGTGAAACTGTTCACCTCAATGTTTGAGAGCAATGCAAACTAGTTGGTGTGGTGATACACAAAATGTAATGAAATTATTAAGGATGAGTTTGTATCACATTTTTAGACTACTTTCTTTTCTTTTCTTTTTTTCTTTTTTTTTTTTTTGTCATTTTAGTTGTTTCGTATTTCGATATTGTTACCAGATGTTTACTGGCATTTGATACCCATCCATGTATTTCTTTTCATTCATGGATCTTGTCTGAAAATAGGACCTCGACTCAATAGTTATATCCAAGAATTTTATGCCTCTTGGAGGAGGGATGAGACAATGCGCCCGTGCAGAGTACAGTAAAGCGTTCATGGCCACATTTCTCCATGTTTTAATCACCAAATATAAGTTTTTTTTTTTTTTTCATCGCTATATATATATATATAAATGCTAGAGTAGGCCAATTTTTACACCCAAGTATGTTCATAGCTTTTATTTATGGGGTTTTTCAATAGGTGGACCAAAATCAAGGAAGGAGACATGGTTCGGGCTCCTACTATAGGGTTTGGATATGGCATTCAAATAAAGGTTTCAGAAAAAGCTCTGTTTGAAATAATGTGATCCGTCACCTGTTAATAAGTAGAATTTTGTGGCTTTGTTTTCCTTTTTTTTTATTTATTTTCTTATTATGTAAAAAAAAAAAAAAAAAAAAAAAGTGTAAAACTGTTCACCTCAATGTTTGAGAGCAATGCAAGCTAGTTGGTCATAGTGTGGTGATACACAAAATGTAATGAAATTATTAAGGGTGTGTTTGTATCACATTTTTAGACTACATTTTTTTCATTCTGACAAGCTTAATTATGTCCATTTTTTTTTTGCTTCTTCAAGAAAGAAAGTTCAATTTAGTTCAGCTTTTATTTCGTTTGTGTAAGAGCTGTGGTTAAGAGATGCAAAAGCCTGGGTATAAAAGGAAAATTAAACTTACAACGATCTGAATTCTGATTATGCCCATAATAAATAAATATTTTAGATATTGAGTGCCTTATGGTTCCGATTGTAAAACTATCACCCCCAAATATTTTAATTTATCATTAAATTGATTCAAATACGAGGGAGTCAACAAAAAGTAACCAGTAAAAAAACGACAAGTAAGCAATTTTTATTTTTAATTTTTTTTGTCAGTCACACATATTTTTTTCTCCACGTTCGGATCCGAACCCTTCAATTACAATATGTGACAAACATTTTTATTTTTATTTTTATAAGAAATGGTTATGGCCTGTAAAAAAAATAAAATAAAATAACACTAGACATGAGAAGTGTGTGTGAAAAATAACTGCAACATGATTGTAATGGCAGCAAACGATATTTCAGTCTCATATTTATGGGAGTTACAGAGAATTTTAGAAACATATTGGAATTTGAGAGTTCAAATAATTCGTGAAACTTGAAAGTTAAAACTTTGTTATTCTTTGATAATGTCAAACAATTCTTGAATTTGGGCCTGTTCTGAACCGCCCTCATGGGATCCAATACATAGGATTTGGGCAGATCTCAACCCGGAATATTCAGGCCATGCCAGGCCCATCCCTAATAAGTTGTTTGGGGGATCTAGTTTTGCGTTTTTCAAATTTAAAATGTTTTCTTCAAAATAAATGTTTTTTTTTTTTTTGAGAAGTGATAGGCCTTCCGACCTCAATTGTCGACTTCTCCTTCAAATACAATGTGATTATGAATGAGTCGAAGAGAAAGAGATGTTTACGGAATTATTTTTTTTAAGAGATCCAACCACGTTGTATTTGGATAAAGAGTCGGCAATTGAGGTCATAAGACTTATCATTTTTATTTTGTTACTAAATCATAAGGCTATCTTTTAACCACGTTTTTGGGCTTACAACGCACCTGTTTTAATGCCTATGTTTTAAACTGCTAATTTTTTCATCTTCTACTCCGTATAAAACTTCATTTGAGAATCATCACTGCATTAATCTATATCAAAAAAATAAAAAAATCTATTCTTTTTTTAGCAATAAAGCCGTTCGGGCACTGTTTGTGTCAGCCAAACAGTGCCTAATGGCTTTTTTATTTCAGTAAAGTGAAGAAAAATAAAAACCAAAACACAAGTTTTTGGGCACAGTTTAGGCCGAACATGCCCTTAACATGGTTGCCCAATTCAAATTAGTACACCATCGGTAAAAAAATAGCAAAAAAACAAGGGCGTCGCACCTGGGCCACGATTGCGGGCATGCTCTTTAAAAATAGTGGTCTATGAGCCAAATTTCCGCAAGTGGATTGGACTGTTGTTGGCTTTCGAAAATTGGAGTTTGGACTTGGAAACTCATTTTCGCGAGTACAATTAAAATGTTTTTATTATTAGTTTTGTAGGTAATTGTGTTTTTTTGATGTGAAATTGATTCTTTGAAGAAAAATATAATATTATTTGTAGAATATATTTGAAAAAGAAAATGTGAGCAGAAAGTTGATTCATATTTTCATAATATTTTTCTTGAATAAAATTTATTTCTTCTTCAGAAAAGATGGAATTGTTGGATTACGATTTTCATCCCATTCTTATTTACCAATTAATGTAACTAATCTTAATAATACTATACCTTCAAAGTATCATGTTCTTAGTACTACTTGGCATCAAGAAGATTTGACAAGATCTAGAGTTAATCCCAATTTACAAGGCATAAGAACAAATCAAAATATTCCCCAACCTTTTTACACCGTTGAAGAAGAATCTTCAAGCATAATAGTGAGTGCATTTTTAAGATTTTAATAACAACTTACGTAATTTTGTAAATAAAATAAATTCCAGGGTCGTTGCTCCATAAAGAGTCATATTTCATAAGAATACTCTCTTGTCATGAGCTCTCTCTACAAGTAAAGTTCCTAAGAGATCTCTATCACGAGGGAGAGCTTGAAAACAGTCATGAACTATGAATTATCTCTCATGAGAGAGACCTCTTAAGAGCATTTAAGTATCTACTTGGTTTGAAATTCTAAAAACAATTATGAAGAACTCAAAAAATAGTAAAAATTTTTCATAAGAATACTCTCTTGTCATGAGCTCTCTTTACAAGTAAAGTTCCTAAGAGATCTCTATCACGAGGGAGAGCTTGAAAAGAGTCATGAGCTATGAATTATCTCTCATAAGAGAGACCTCTTAAGAGCATTTAAGTATCTACTTGGTTTGAAATTCTAAAAACAATTCTGAGGAACTCAAAAAATAGTAAAAATTTGACTTCAGAATTGTTCCCTGAAAATAAGTATTTTTATAACTGAGTTTTAAAAAAAGTGAACCAAGCATAGTATTTGTACAGTTTTAGTTTTTTTAGAACATAAAATATTTTCATAATTACAAACCAAGAATACCATTACTCTCTCCATATTTAGTCATTAAATTAAAAAATTTATTAAATAATTTATTTGATTTTTTTTAAAAGTATTTTTCAATTCAATAAATAAAGGAAAATGATTCTTACACCGAATAGTTACAGCGAATTGATATACCTATTATTTTAATTAGTCAATTATATAATAAATAAGAAAATAAAGCCTTCTAGCTAATTATTTTTAATATAAATAATTAATTAAAAATTATTTAATTAAGTAATTCATTACAAATATTTGGTATAAGTATCACCACCCATAATTAAATAAGGAGGGTTTATGAGTAAAGGGTCACAGAGCATTACTTTTTCATAAATATTTTTACCATCACCAGGAAAGAGAGTCTTTAGTGTTTCATAAATTTTTGTACCATGACTGCATTGTGCACCAGAAAGAGTCATGATTCATAAATTTTCAGACCATCACCACAAAAGAGAACCTTTAATGTTTCACAAAATTTGGACCATTGACAGTATTGTGCACCGAAAGACATGTTTCAGAAAATTTTACTCCTATCACATTGTACACAGAAAAAAACATGTTCTATAAATTTTTAAACCATCACCACGAAAGAGATTTTTTTTTTTGGGATAAGACAACCCTTTTTTTTTTTTTTAAGCATTAGGAACTCTCCTAGGCAGGTCCCTTTGAGACCCACCTTAGGCTATAAATGTGGGGTGTAAAGCCTTACCCTAAGGATACACCGGGTGAATAAGGCAACCTTGATAGTTGGGAAAGTGGTAGAATTGACAACTATTTTTTGCGCAACTTAAAAAATGACGGGACTATTTTCTACATAGTGACCACGTTTGTTAATCAATGATCAATCCTACACTTCTCAAATTATAATTTCAGATTTTGTTATGAATTTAACGTGACAATAACTAAAAAGACAATAGCATCTTATATTTTAATACATGTTACATTTTATTTTTTTATATATTTATATTTTTTATTTTAATAAACTAAATAAATTAACAATGGAAAGAAAAGGTAAGAACAAAAAATTATAGTGGAATTCTTTCTCTATCTATAATTTATTTTTCTCTATTAATATTTTTTTAGGATTAATTACAACGATAACCCCTGAGGATTGTCATATTGATAGTCATATACAACTTAATCCTTTTTTAGATAAAGACACCCCCTAAGTTTGCAAACTTGAATAATGATACCTCAAACATGATGAAAGTACATGTTTACCCTTTGACTACGTAAAATGACCAAATTGCCCTCATCCAAAAAATTCTTTATTCTTCCCATTTTTCGATCTTCCCATTCATTATACACAACCACTACACTGGCACCACTACCGCAACCTCCACAACCACCATCTTCTCCCCTGTTCCACTACCATCACACAAACCCAACATTTCAAAATTACACACATATATCAATATATACATACATACAATGCCTTGCCCGTCATCCGTGCTCTCTGTAGCCGTCTACCCATCTCATCCGAGCTTCCCCTTTGCTCGCCGGCAGTCGTTCCAAAGCTTTCTGCCCACCCCCATCGCTGCTGAGTTCAGTCCACATTTCACAGCCAAACTCATCATAGAAATCCACATCACCGAGCTCCCCCTTTGCTACAGGCTCAGCTGGACAGACAAGCAGAACGAACTAGCGAGGGATGGCGGCTTGTGCATGCAGACGATTGATAAAAATAGCAGGCACGATGGGTTGTAGATGAACGTCGACAGTGCTCAGATGTGGTTGAATCGCAGTGGGCTTACGGCGCTGCACCGACAGGCGGTGGTGACAACGACAGTTCGTGGCAGAGACCAGGTGGATTGTGGGTTTGCAAGGTGGCTCAGCGGGATCTCGCGGCGAGTAAGGAGAAGCCCTCACCAGCCACCACGAGTCTTCCATGGCCGAGCCATCCACAGTTAAGCTTTCCACCAGCCGGGCTCTCCATAGCTGAGGCCGAGTTCATCCAAAACGGCGAGAGACATACCAAACAAGCGAGGACTGAAAACGCGAAGGCCAATAAAATTTCTCCGGTGGCTGTGGGATATGGTGTTAATGGAGGACCAAATCGGAACAGTGGCCACGGTTGAAGGCCATGTTGCCTCGAGACTGGCAAAATCGACGGCAATAGAAAACTTGATTTTTTAACTGAATCGGAGAATAAAAATGACTGCACGGCAAGGACTACAATAAATTTGATGAGGACGACGGCGACCAAGGATTCTGACTAGACTGTTCTTACTGGCGATGCAAGGATGTGTGACGAGGGTCTGTTCTTAGCTAAGAGAGTGGGTCTGAACTGAACGGCGGTGAAGAGGATTGAACGAAGATGCATTGTCTCTTACCGACGAGGACGACGGCGACCTAAAATGGTGGGGTTCTGATAGGCAAGCACGTTATCCATAGTCGGCGACAGACAATTTTATCTTATAGGTTTGAGAGCTGTTGAAAGAGAGATGTGAGAGAGTAAAGTTGTGTACAGGAATGAAAGAAAGAGATGAGATGAGGGGGTAGTTTGGTCATTTTAGGTGAGGATTAAAATATATCTTAGGGCGGATTAGACATTTCATGTCACTTAAGACTGTGTTTGGTTCCGTTTTTTAAAAATGGGTTGTCACTGTTCAAGTTTGCAAACCTAAGGGGTGTCTTTGTCCAAAAAAGGACTAAGTTGTATATGGCTGTCAATATGACAAACCTCAAAAAGTGTCGTTGTAATTAACCTATTTTTATTTTTTTATTATTATATATATATATATATATATATATATATATATATATATATATATATATATTCTCTATTTCACTCTCTCAACTTAATATCTTTGTTGGGTATTTCTTTAAAATTTAACCGTAATCGGAAAATACAAAATCAAAATATAATTGTAAAAAGAATTAAGTAAATTATGTAAATAAGGTTCTTATTTACTAGAAAGATATCACTCATTTATCCTTAAAAAAATGTAACAAAGAATATTTCAAACAAAAATATATAGGCAGAATTGAATTCAAATTATTGAGTTATATTAGAACTTGTTTTCTATAATGATAAGTTTTGTAATTTTTTTCTCTATTTCTATATATTAAGATCTTTCCTATATTAAAAAAATATATTTTTAAAATACACAAAGCAGCAAATAAACTGACACCTAATTCAATATAAAATCACAAATATAAATTCGTGAAACATAACATTTTTTTTAATTAATTACATCTTGTCACATAAATTAAATTATTTTATTTTAGTAGCTCCTATAATTATATGTCAATACATGTCCTTGGTACAAGAATATAATTTTTTATTTTTTATTTTTTTCTGTTACCTCAAGCCCTCAATCCAAGTTCTTCTCTTTAGTTGGATAATGGTCATTATGTGTATGGGTTTGATGGCACTGGATTAATTTCATCTTCATGGTGGACTATTGAATTCATTTTGTACATGGCCATCCAATTTAAAATTTTAAATTATTAGATGATGATCGTAATAATAATTTTAAGACTAATTGTTTAGTTAAACCTATTTGTTAAGTGTAATAATTATTGCTTCTGTCTCGAAATAGAAGTTTATGTTTAGAAATTTGAGTTTTTAAGGGGATATGTAATTAATGCATTATCTCTTTTAAAATTATTAAATTATCATTTTTAATTTAAATATATATAATTACAAAGTTTGAAATTTTTTAAAAAAATAAAGAATAATGATAACAATATAATGAAAAAATATTTTAATTTTTTTAAAATGACAATTAATTTAGGACATATAAAAAAAAAAAAAATTTTGAAAGATAGTAGGTTTAGAGACTAGATATTTTTATTGCCAGGGACACTCTCTCTATTTTCGATTTTCTCTTTCCATCTCTTAACTATTGTTGAAAAAATATTTTAATTTTTTTAAAATGACAATTAATTTAGGACATATAAAAAAAAAAAAAAAAAAAATTTGAAAGATAGTAGGTTTAGAGACTAGATAGTTTTCTGGCCAGGGACACTCTCTCTATTTTCGATTCTCTCTTTCCATCTCTTCCCTATTGTTGCCTCTCTGGTTGATATGAGAGTTGAAAATTCTGAAAGATGCTTTGTCTTAACTATCATTTTGTCAGTCGAAAGCACGAGCCGTTAAAATAAAACGCTTTGGGAATGACGACTCACCAAAGCACAATCTTCAAAGATATTGTCTGATCATTATTGCCTACTCCAGTATGGCATTGCCATGAGTGGAGCAGTCTTAGGGCAGAGACATGATATCAGAAAATTGATGTGACAAAACTATCGCCTCTAAAGAGTCCAACCATCATTACTATTATCACAATTAATCCATCACGGATTTCAGAAATGAGAACACAAAAGTACAAAAACAAAGTAAAAATATATGCTTGGTAGTATAGATTTGTAATTGAAAAATTAAAAATTGTACAAAAATTGTTGTTGGTTCATTTGTTTTTTAATAAAAAGTTCTATTCTTTCGCTAAAGATATATCTTTAAAATTGTATTTTCTGAGTGAAAAATCAAACCCTAATATTTTTTCAACAAAAACATTGAAGCTTGACAGGACTTTTTTAAACTAGCAATTTTATTATTCTATCGGGCAACATTTTTTATCGATCATGTTTTCATAATTTTACTTTCAAATTTTTTATAACAAATTATATAAAGTTTTTATTTTTTCTGAATGTCCAAGCAAATACAATCATCCACTATATATATATATATATATATATCAAAGCACACTCACTAGCGCAATTACACACACGCCAAGCTTTGAAGCACCTTGTTCAAACCCATTTTTGAGAGAGAAAGAGAGGGCCTTCCTTCCTTGCTTCTTGATACACAAAATAGTAGTAGGAGATCAATGTGGTCAATAATAGGATTGGGTATTGTAACATTGTTCATTATATTCATAACTCACTGCTTTTATAAGTGGAACAATCCCAAATGCAATGGAGTTCTCCCTCCAGGTTCCATGGGCTTCCCTCTCATTGGAGAGACCCTTCAGTTGATTATTCCCAGTCGCTCCATAGACCTTCATCCATTCATCAAAACCAGAATTCAAAGGTAATATATATTTATATACAATTAAATAATTTCTGTTTTTTTTTTTTTTTGGTAAATACACATAAATAATATCTTGCACATCTGTAAGCAAGAAACTTAACAATATACATGGTGATCGTTATACATGATTGCTAAATTTTTGTTTGGTAACTACCTTTTGTTTTTACATTTTGATTAATATTCAACGGCCACTATGCTTTGTGTTGAGAAAGTTCTTGTTTACCAGTGTGCAAAATATCTTTTCTTTTTAAATATCTGGTGCTCATTTACTTCTAAACTCCATGGACTGTGATCTACTTGTTCACTAAGATGTGCAAATCTCTTTAGAAAAACCAAATCACTTTTCCCAACCAAAAATGATATTAATAGTAGTAAACTTTCATCTTACTACACCAGCTAGTAGCTACCAAAAAATTACAATTTTGGGGTATGGTGTAAAAAAGTCTTTACGTTTTTAAATCACAATTTTTTTTTTTTTTGGTTATAATCTAAGTTCACATTCTTATTATCTGTTACTGTTTTAGTGGGTGAGATCCTGTATTGGTTTTCTTTATTTTCAACTTATTGTGTGGAAGAAAGTATCTGAATAACTAAGCATGTTACAAGTTCCTAAATTTCCAGAAGATTATCGAAACTGAACAATGAACTAATTTAATTGTTGCTACTAATATTGTTTGGTTGAATATAGATTGTATTAGTACAAACATTTATACAAAAAAGGGTTTAGTAATTCACAGAGGATGTAATTGTTGAGGGTTTCTCTATGTTAAATTAGAGCAGCAATTTGACTCATTAATGGATTGATTCCAGATATGGGCGATTGTTTCGTACCAGTTTGGTAGGGTGGCCTGTGGTAGTATCGGCTGACCCTGATTTCAACAGCTTCGTCCTCCAACAAGAAGGGAATTCTGTTGAATTGTGGTACTTGGGCACTTTTTCTAATGTTTTTGGAATGGATGGTGAAAGTAGGATGAGTGCAGTAGGTTCCGTTCACAATTACATAAGAAGCAAATTGTTGAGTAAGTTTGGTGGCGAGAGCCTCAAGGAGGTAAAGGAATTGGTTCCTCAACTAGAACAAATGGTTCACAAAACTCTACGCATTTGGTCAACCCAAGAATCCATTGAAGTGAAACACGCCACTGCAACCGTAAATTTCAAGCTCATGGCCAGCTTACTACTCTTTACACCTATAAATGAATATTATATATATATATATATATATATATATATATATATATATATGCTTATTAATTCATGTTATGTTTATTAACAAAACATTGTTTTTGCAACACAGATGGTTTTCAATTTTACTGCAAAACAGATGTTTGGCTTTGATTATGAAAAATCATCGGAGCAGATAAGTGATACTTTCACCAATTTCTTACAAAGTCTAATGTCATTTCCTCTGAACATCCCCGGTACTAGGTTCCACAAGTGTATGAAGGTAGTAAAATCTAAATCTGATCAACTAAATACACATACATACAGGGACGGACCCAGCAGGGGACTAGGGGGGGCAGATGGCCCCCCTGAATTTTTAATATTTTCATTTTATACCCTAATGTTTTTAAAATTTATGAAAATGCCCCTCCTAAAATTACAATTCGCCCCACTGGATTCTTATTTTTTAGCATTTTATACTTCAAATTTTGATAATTTATGAAGATACCCCACTATAATTATAATTTGCCCCACTGATTTTTTTTCTTTTTTCATTTTATACTTAATTTTTTTTAAAATTTATGAAAAATACCCTATTAAAATTACAAAAATGAACCCATCATATAATTTTGTACCCACAAATTAAAAATTCGCCCCCCCTCACCAAATTTTCTGGGTCCGTCACTACATACATATATATTAATTTGTTCTAAATGATTGAGCTCGATTTTGATTCAGGACAAAGAGAAGATGCTGAATATGATAAAGAATATACTGAAGGAGAAACTCGCTTCACCTGAGACATGCCAAGGGGACTTTCTTGATGAAGCCATCAAAGACTTAAGAAGCGAAAAGTTTTTGACAGAGGATTTTATAGTTATGTTAAGCTTTGGAGCTTTATTTGCCAGCTTTGAAGCAATATCAGCTGCACTTACCCTAGGTTTGAAGTTACTTTCGGAAAACCCTTCAGTTGTAGAGGAGCTGAGAGTATGAACACCTACATTTCACTTCATTTTCAACTTTTAATCTTGTTTTTGGATGTATTTTTCACCCGTGTTTATGAAAAGTCTTGATTTGTTTTTCAGGCTGAGCACGAAACGATTCTTAGAAACAGAGGAAGTTCGGATTCTGCACTGACATGGGACGAATACAAATCAATGACTTTTACTCCTCAAGTGAGTTCTAAAATCTCAACATGTTCTCTCTTCTGATTTAAAATGGTCATTGTCTTCTCTTCCTAACTTCTTGATATGTGGAGATCGCAGGTTATCAACGAAATTCTTAGGATGGCTAATGTTGCTCCAGGAATATTAAGAAAAACATTGAAAGACATCCAAGTAAATGGTATAATAAATTCAGTTCACCAGCTTTACTTTCTAGTTCCAAGAAATATGTCATCTTATATTAACCAAAAAAAAAAAAAAGTGTAGTACGACAACAACAATCAAGTGGTTTGTTTTTTCAACTACTTGGCGTTAGCTACATGAATCCTATTTTAATCATTGGATAATTGGTTTCCAGGTTATACAATTCCGGCAGGTTGGATCATTATGATTGTCACTCTTGCTCTTCAACTAGATCCTAACGCATTTAAGGATCCACTTGTATTTAATCCGTGGCGTTGGAAGGTGCATAATCTAATCTGAAGCTTAATTGGTTTTATATTTCGATATTGTTAGCAGAGATTTTTAATTACTGGCATTCGATACCCATCCATGTCTTCCTTTTTCTTTTTCTTTTTTTATTTTTTCTTGATCCTGTATGTAAATAGGACCTGGACCCAATAGTTATATCCAAGAATTATATGCCTTTCGGAGGAGGCATGAGACAATGCCCAGGTGGACAGTACAGTAAATTGTTCATGGCCACATTTCTCCATGTTCTAGTCACCAAATATAGGTAAAGTTTTTTTCTTTAATTGCTATACATGTATATGCTAGAGAAGGCCAATTTTTACGCCCAAGTTTGTTCATTGATGAATAATCATCTTTTATATATGGGGTTTTTCAATAGGTGGACCAAAATCAAGGGAGGAGACATTGTTCGGGCTCCTATTTTAGGGTTTGGAGATGGCATTCATATGAAGTTTTCGGAAAAAGCATGATTACGAGGTATCTATTTGACATAATGCGATCAGTCACTTGTTTATCCATATAATCTTGCTGAGTTTGTTTTCTTTCTAGTTTGTAATAATGGGTAAAAATAATACCCGTGTAATAATACTGCTCACCTCAATCTTTGAGAGAAATGTTAACTAGTGGGTGGATAGTATGGTGCACAAATGTCATGAAGTTATTTAGGATGTGTTTGTTTGTTTGTTTTACTTTTGTCTTTTTAGTTTCTAATTATGTGTGTAAATAAAAACATGTGTAAAACTGCTCACCCCAATCTTTGATATCAATGTTAACTAGTTGGTGATGGTGCAGTACACAAAATGTCATGAAATTATTTAGAGTTTGTATGACATATCTAGAATGCATTTTCTTACTTGTTTATATCTTAAAGCAAAATTTCAGTTTGTGACTATTTTTTTATTTTATTTTATTTTTTATATGGAATAGTTATGGCCTAAAAAAAATATATACACTGTGTACATGAAGAGGGGTCTGATAAATAACTGTTCGGTGATTTGGTTGTAATGGTAGCAAAACTCATCACAAGAGAGAAATTTCGATACACTGAAATTTGAGAGCCAAATATTTCTTGAACACAAAAACAGAATCCAATTGGTTGATATGTTTATTCATGATTTAGATTATCAAGAATTAAATGAAACTAGGATTGCGAGCGTACGTAGTCTGTTTGACATTTAAACTAGCGAGCAAGTCCCAACTTTTTCTTTCAACAACTTTCTTGTTTCCTTTCTCCATCATGTTAGTCAATTCTCTAACAAACTCGTCATTTCCTACGTATATTGCATCTAATAAATGAGTAATGTTTATTTATTTTTATTTTTTAAGGCTAATTGAACAAGAAAAAAACTAATAAATATATTTATATTGATATGATGTTATTAGGGATAGACAATGTATAAGCTTTTTAAAATTTTAATTATAATTATTAGGGATAGACAATGTATAAGCTTTATCAAGGACCTTATAGCATTATAATATTTATTTAATGCGAAGATAAAAGAAGGTAGATCTGATGCGAGAAGAAATGTACAGAGGTTATGTTTTGTTGCATAGAATTGAAATTGGAGAAAAAATTAGTTTAAATTTTCTGTAATTTTGAACTAAACTTTTCTCCAATGTCATTAATTTCAATTCTAAAACTTTTACAAAAAAATAAAATAATAAATAAAAAAATTAAAATTAAAATTAAAACTCTAATTCTATACAGAACGTAGTCTAGTAATACGGTCCTACCAATCTTTGACTAAGAATACTTCGGTAATTTTACAACAAAACAAAGTCGACATTTTTAATTTTACAATGTTTTTCTCACTTCTCTATTCGGGACTCCATTCAGTTGCCTTCCAAAGGCTTGAAGTTGGGCCAGATCTGGACTTCCCTGATGTGATCCATGACTGTCGGATTTGGGCCTAATCATAATCCCGAGGCCATGCCAGACCCATTACTAATAAGTTGCATGAGAATTTAGTTTTGCCTTTTTCAATATTTAAATATTTTTTCATACTTGTCTACCTCCATTCTTCATTAGTTGTTCAGTTCAAAAAATTTGACTCACAATTTCGTGAATCAAAGTTATCGAAGTAGATATATAGTATAAGGATATAAGTAGTGTATAAGTATATAAAAGGAATATGACTAAAAGTGATCCCAAATGACTTAAAAATAAAAGATGGTAGCGAGTCAAAATTTTCGAAATGAACAACTAATATGGAACGGATGTAATAATTTAACCTTCTCTTTTAAAGGAGGAATCACAAGACTGACCTCGGCCATCGTTTACGTCTTTTCAGATGGTAAACAAATAAGTGTTTTTTTTTCCCCACCAAACAAAACCTTATCCAACTAATAAAACAGCAGCAGGTAAATACTATTCATTTAACCGAAGTTCCGTTTATCCAACTTTTTCAGTGGATTATTAGTTATTACGTATTAATTTCTCATTTTAATGGTCAAACTTATATTTACTATTGAATCTGCATCAAAGTTTCAAATTTTGTGTGCGATAGATAGACTAATCATCATTTCTTTACTAATTAGTCGCTCAAATTGAAAGGCTGCTTGAATTGGTTGCTTGCTCTGTTTTCGAGCGGCTTGATCAGACCTGATAAACTGATTTGGGAATTTGCCGAAATTCCTATTTTTATTGGTTTAAATTCATATTAGACTTTTCTATTATACATAGAGCCAGTCTATGGGGGGAGTAAGTTCTTTAAAATTGAAATTAAAATAAATTTAATTCAAACTTAAATTTTATTTTATTTTAATTCTAAAATATTAATTCGATACTCTCTAACGCAGTCATATCTCAACATGAGGTGTTGATTCATTTCTTAAGCTTACATCAAACTTGATCCTTAACTAAAACAATTAAAATCAAACACGTGCACACTTGAAAAATTGTATTATCATGGCATTTTCCCAACATTTATGGGTAAGTCGGACAATTAATTTATAAATGCTTCCCACCAATGGGAGAGTAGTTTGAACTTTAAAACCCCGTTCATGTTTTTTTAGATGTCATTGTATTGTCACTATTATCAACTCAAATATCAAACATTTTTCAATTGATTAAAAAATAAAAATTAAAAGAGTAATTTGTTAAATCCTCATAAAATAAAAATTATCATATTTTAATCATTATTATTTTTGGTCAAAGAAAATATATTTATTGGTATGTGTTATCACCACTTCATCCTATGTAATATTTGAGACCACGTTGGACCTTTTATTTCTTGTAATTTTCGTGTCAAACCTTAATCATTTAGGATCAACTTTCAACTCATTGAAAGGTCAATGAAGGTGTGGATTCTAGAAACAGAGATAAGAAAGTCGCGTCTTCGTCCACAATTAAATTAGAGGACTGTCCAATTAATTCAATTTAATGAGAAGGACCGTAATGTATTTATACAAAAATCAAAACTTTCAATCCTGGTACGCATCATTAATTCATTGCTTTTCACATAGAGCCCAACAAAAGTTTGTGATTAAACCAAGTTCACATTGAATCTAGGACATAAAACAATATGGGTCTGATCCGATTCAATTCAAATTCTATACTGTATTTGATTAAGAATGAATTATAATTTTAGATTTTTTGTGAATCTTATAGAGCAATATTGAGAATAGAATAAGAGATATCACGGAAAGAAAATAAGAGAACTTTTATTTCTGTTCTGATATCCCCATTTGTAATACACTACACTTCTCATATAGAGACTTTTTACCACCTAATGGATTTTCTTATACAAGGCACGTAAACCAGTGCAATACATTATCTACCAAAGCACACCATCCTCTGCCTTGACACTCATGTAAATGAAGTGGACCCCATTATATTACAACTTTGTTCTAATACCCCCATTAGTGTTCTGCAATCCCCATTTGCAATACGCTACACTATATAGAGACTTTTTACCACCTAAACTTTGCTCTATCATATTTTCTCATACAAGTCACGTAAACCACTGCAATACATTATCTACTGAAGCACACCATCCTCTACCTTGACACTCATGCATGGAATAAATGAAGTAGACCCCACTATATTACAAGGAAATCAAACTGGAAAGGATTTGTTTCAAATATGGATATCAATGGGTAGAAGATGGACCAAAATTAAATTTATTTGATATAAGCAAGGGCAGATTCAAGGGTGGGCGAAGCTGGGCTTCAGCCCACCCTTAAAAAAAAAAAAAAAAATAGTAATGATAATCTAGTCCAAAGTTAGTATAGTCCAAAATTAGTCCACCCCATTGAGAAAGGCTGAATCCACCTTGTAAATGTGTGATACCAAGAGTAGTCGATCATGGGTTTCATTTTCTTACAAAAGTTGCAACCACTTGTAGAGTTTCATCATTTTTAGCTTTGGTTTGCTTAGGCGGTTATTAGAGACTAGAGACGTGGACGAATAATATTTGTGTCAAAGACTTTCAAAACTAAAATCAAAATCAAAACCATGTTGATAGAATATGTAAGCTGACATGAGAAACTTCAAAGTTCAAAGTTTGGGCTGCAAATTGAAAATAGAAGGTTGCCATCAAAATCAAGATGATGCAGCCACTGAGGTCACAACTTCCCATTTTACAACTTTTGAGAGTCCAAAGCCGCCAAATCTCCTATAACTTGACCATCCCGTATATGCAATCTCTAATTTTAAAAATACCCAATCAATATACACACAAATACAAAATCATACCTATATATATATATATAGTACTTCCTCTATTTCTAATTAAATGTTTTTTTTTTTTTCGTAATTTAACTTTTTAAGAAGATAAATTTTAATAGTTTTGAGTGTTTACTTTTTAAAATGTTTAACTGTTATAAAAAAAATAATATTTTGACCTTTTAAATTTGACATTAATTAATAAATATGTATAGCCTATATGATTGGGCTTATTCTGTCCATTGCAGTTTACTGTGTTGACCATGCCTGCCAGCGCTTTGGTTCTGGATAAATGATCATCATCCTCAATTCTAGTAATTATTATTATTATTATTATTTTTGTTTTTTAAATAGAAAAGGTTGAACAAGAAGGAGAGCAGAGACGAGAAGGCCAAGAAAAAGAGTTGTCTTGTTTGTGTTATAAGAACATAGTTGATTAAATAAAGAAGCTCACGATTCACATATATGGGTCTTCTTACACTGCATATAAATCAAACATGCCCCTATCGGGTGCACCATTCTTGGGAAGACAAAGTTTAGCTGTATCCCTCACCTCACTTTTGCTTATCTCATGAAGTAACTATTCTGTTTGGACAACCCATACATTTTTGTGATTTCCAACCTATTGCATCATCCTCTCTATCTCTTCTGCATCAGAATATCATAATTTATTAATCTTCTCCATCCATTCACCACCACCACTGGCCGTCGGTCACTGGACATCTGGCAAACATGCATCACAATTTCATATTATTGTTTATTGTAAAAAAGAGTTATGATACATTAGTCTCACCCTCACCGATCGATTTCCTAACGACGATAACATGAAGATATTATTCTTTATTCACATAAAATAATATAATTAGTGTAAAAATTGGATTACTTATTTACAAGAACTCTTTGCATTCGGACACAAGAAGTATTACTCTATCTCCCAGTTATTTTGAAGAACCTTATGCATTTAGAGAGAAGGGTTCGAATACGGACACATCCATTCAGGAAGGAATTCCAAAAGTTATCAACACCTTTTCAATCTGCTAACTAATTAGGCACTCTATTAATTAGACCGCTAAATAATGTCCCAACTCATTTTGAAAATGCCCCCACCTCGTTCTGAAGCAAAAGAGTAGGACTTTTGCCAGCCATCTGAGGACATTTCAATAATACTTTCGCATGGACGTACAAGCCCATTTATTACAAGGTTTAAATACACATCCCAATCGTCACAAACTTTTCCGTGGAATCGCAACTTGCATGTTGGTTGCATGGACAGCCTAGCCTCTTCAAGAACTACCCTCATGAAAAAAGAAGAAGAAAAAGATATGGATAAGTTGTTCCACATGTATTATCACATACTCTCCTATCATGAAGATTTAAATTTCTATTAAAATAATGGTAGTAGTATGAATAATTGTGGGTGCTCATTATACATTTATACGTGTACCCAAAAATAAACAAAATGCAACACTATCATATCAAATAAAAAAATCAATCTTTATTGATTCTTTGCACCAACTCAAATTTTTTTTTTTTTTTTCCCACCACATCAAATGCCATACAAATCTCTCAAAAGAATTATGCTACTTGATCAATTGATCTATTCACACATTACAAAAAATTACAAAATTAACAAGACACACAAGTGACATGACCACATTTTTTTTGGCATTGAACAGTGAACACTGCTATACCTCTTTTGTAATGTGGCAAAGAACTACGATAAATACATCCACTTTGAAAAGGGTGACTTTGTAATTTCAGGAGGGGGAGGAATAGCCTGCGGACCTCCTTGAGAGAAACACTCTGCAATCGTCTTTGGGACAGATGGTGGGGGTATAAGCGATGTCATCACAGCCGTCCATTCGGTGGCGCTTGAAATCAATCAACGAAGTGAATACGGCGATGAAGAGAACCAAATGGTTCAATGCATACCTCTGCCCCACACACTGGTGGGCCCCAGCTCCGAAAGCCAGAAAGTTCTTTTTGTAAACCCGATCTTCCTGTCTCGCCTCCATGAACCGGTCGGGATCGAACCGGTCCGGTTCCGTGAACCCCTGGAACGAAGACTCAAAAACGGATGGAAAGACGATCGTGCCTTTCGGTATCGTGTAAGATTCCGTCAATTGAAAGTCCTCGCCGGCAATGTGCGGAACCATTGTTGCCGGCGCACGCAACCTGATCACCTCCCTCGCCACCGCCTGAGTGTACTTCATCTCCGACAGCTGCTCCGCTGTGATCAGCGAGTCAGATTCCGGCGACCATATCCCAGCCACCTCCTTCCGGACCTTGGCGAGCACCTCCGGATGCGAGTCCAGCATTGTCACCGCCCACAGCAGCGACGAAGTGGAGGCATCCTGAGAGGCAAAGAGGAAATCGAAGAGGTGGCCGCCGATCTCGATGCTCGCCGTGTGCGGCGACTCCGACTCACCGGAATCCGCCCCCACGGCGGCGCATTCTCTAACTATATCTTGCATCCAGAAGTCAATCAGACACGTCGGCTCGTGTCCGGCCTTCATCCTCTTCTTGCTATCGTCGGCGCAGAGAGCTAAGGTTCCGACGAGTCTCTCCACGGCGAGTCTTGCTTCTCTGAATGCGAAACCAGGAAAATCAATGGGTAACTTCATCAATCCAACATTGAAGAGATTGTAATCGCGATTGAATTTGTCTCGGGCTTGTGGGTCCAGGTAAGGCCCAACAAAAACAGTCTGTGAGGTCTCTAAATTCATTTGGCGACAGAGCAATCGGAGAGGGACAGACTCCGAATTAGAGCTGAATCTATGGGCCCACATGGTGAGGTGTTTGTGGATAATGTTATGCTGTATCGCGGTGTAGGTGGAGAGTGCTTTGGGAGTGAAGTTGGGGGCGATCTTACGGCGGAGGTTTTTATGATCCTGGCCCATCATGTAGATGAGATTGTGATCGCCGAAGAGTTTCTTGCCGAAAGGGTGGCCGACGAGGTGGAAAGCGTCGGGTCGGACATTGGAGAAGATTCGGTGAGAGAGGTCGGAGGAACGGACGAAGAGGATGAAACGACCGATGATATAGTTGGCCGAGAGGCCGAGGTGGGATGACTTGGCGAGAGCTGATTGGTGGTCCCAGAAGTCGGTTGGGTTGCGAACCAGAGAGATGGCGTTGCCGATGAAAGGGAGGACCAAATATGGGCCTGGGAGAGAGCCCTTTTTCTTGAGATAAGAGGTCTGTTCAATGAAGATGAGGAGGACTAGCAGTGAGAGAAAGTATGGAATGGATAATGAGACGATGGCCCAAATGGAGTCCATTGTTGTTCTATTATTTTGTTCCTGTTTCTCTCTCTAGAAATGATGGGTTAGAGAGAGGAAGTGGCCAGGATGGCAAGAAATTTATGGGGGTTTAGGGAGAGAAGGATGTATTTATAAATGAAACAGTGGGATGCATGCATGGGATGGTGGTCAAGGTTGGGGGTTTTGGGTCAATATAAGCAATGTGGTGGTGTTGGTTGTGGGAAGTGTTTGAACTTTGAAGAGAATGAAGAGAGAACAAATCCAAATTTTTCAGAAAAAGGGTATGCTATTATTATTATACTTACTAATGTTCAAAAAGGGACGATCAACGTACAGACAACATAAGACTAAAAACAGTATTATTTATATGTATTTATTATTATATATAATCGTGTGTATATATATATATATAGAGAGAGAGAGAGAGTGAAGCGGATGATTGATGTTGGGAAGAGATTGAAGTGGGGGTGGTATATTGTATTATTACATATATTTGGGCCATTTGGCCCGGATGGCTCCTCTATGCTATTGAGAAGGATCTTCTTCTTCTTCGTGGTTGATGTGTTTTTGTTTGTTTTGGTTGTTTTGCTTGGGCTTTCGCTCTCTCTGTATCCTTGTCCAGAAAATAATAATAATAATAATAATAATAATGTATTATTATGTAGTTTTATATATATTTATATAACATATACAGTATTATATATATACAGCATTTTTTTTTTTTTCTGAAAATTTGATATATATATACAGCGTTGTCACCCCCGGACTCATATGGTTTTCCGTTTTTTGCATGTATTGGTCAATTATCAATGTTTTTGGTCAATTATTAAAAAAATAAAAAATATATATAAAAAAAAAAAAATATATATATATATATATATATATATAAGGATAATTCCAAAGGGATTCAAATTCTCAAACTCAACAATGCGAGTTGAATGCCAGCAGAGCAAGCAAGGAGTTGATGCGGCAGATTCTGCAACTTTCGCATTGGACAAGGGTGAAAGCTAGTGTCTCTCTCTAGGCACTTTGTACAAACAACAAATGCAGCGTGCTGGTAATAAGAACATCTCTAATGAACTCTTTAAAATTAGGCTCTCTAAATTTATCATATTAATATTTTTTAACAGTCACGCTAGCATTTTTCATAATCACGTTAGCATTTTAGAGTCTTCAAATTTTAACTAATGTATCATGTATTCTAATGATACATTTCCACCCTCCAAAAAAATTTAATAAATTTTTTTTTTTCTATTTGTTAGGAAAAAAATTTTGTTTGGTTAGCTAATATAGCAGTTAATGCAATGTTTGGGTCAACCAAACAGTACCTAAAATGACTATAATGTCAATAGGAACATTAAAATTTTTGAAAAAAAAAAAAAAAAGGGCGAAAAATGCAAAAAAATTGGATTTTTAGAATTTTTTAAATTGCCAAACGCGTTCTTAAATGTATTATGGGCTAACAGTGTTGCTAGGCCACAAAAGTTAAAAATCCAAAAACTGGGCGGGCTCGCAAGAGAAGCTTGCAATCGCTAACTGGGTCGCTATTTTTGGTGACCCATTCCACGACCCAAAACATGGGGCCCATTGGAGTAGTCCAATAGCTAAAAAAGGCCCAAAATCTCTGAATTCTGAGGTGTTGGAGCTGCTCTAATAAATGGAAGGGATAATTTCACTTACCTTCCTTGAGGTTAGGCGTAATTACAGGCGGTACCCCTTACGTTTCAAAAATTACACCGTCCTTCCCTCAAGGTTTGCTCCGTCATAACACTTTGCTCCCTCCGGTCAAAGTCAACGTCGGTCAATTATGGTTTCTGATGACATCAGTTATTTTTAACCCTGTAATACCACATTTGCCCTTACTATCTCTGCAAAGACATTTTAACCCTTATTTTTGTATTAAAATAACCTATATACCCAGAATAAAAAGACAAAAAAGCCATGCATTATATAGTGACCAACAATGCAGTTGAATGCCAGCAGAGCAAGCGAGGAGTTGATGCGACAGATTCTGCAACTTTCACATTGGACAAGGGTGAAAGCTAGTGTCTCTCTCTAGACACTTTGTACAAACAACAAATGTAGCGTGCTGATAATAAGAGCATATCTAATGAACTCTCTAAAATTAGGCTCTCTAAATTTATTACATTAATATTTTTTAATAGTCACGATAGCATTTTTCATAATCACGTTAGCAGTTAGCATTTTAGAGTTTTCAAATTTTAACTATCTCATATATTCTAATGATACATTTCCACCCTCCAAAAAAATTTTAATAAATTATTTTTTTTCTTGTTTGTTAGGAAATTTTTTTTGTTTGGTTAGCTAATATAGCAGTTAATGCAATGTTTGGGTCAACCAAACAGTACCTAAAATGACTATAATGTCAATAGGAACATTAAAATTTTTGAAAAGGAAAAAAAATTACTTTTTTCTAATTTTTTAAAACTTTTTTTGGCCTAAAAAAGCCTTTAAGGCACTATTTGGCTGCCCAGCCAAACAGTGCATTAACGGCTCTTTAGTTCAATTATGTTGAGGAAAAAAAAAAAAAAAAAGGGCAAAAAATGCCAAAAAAATGGATTTTTAGAATTTTTTTAATTGCCAAACACGCTCTTAAATGTATTATGGGCTAATAGTGTTGTTAGGCCACAAAAGTTAAAAATCCAAAAATTGGGCGGGCTCGCAAGAGAAGCTTGCAATCGCTAACTCAGTCGCTATTTTTGGTGACCCATTCCACGACCCAAAACATGGGGCCCATTGAAGTAGTCCAATAGCTAAAAAAGGCCCAAAATCTCTAAATTCTGAGGCGTTGGAGCTGCTCTAATAAATGGAAGGGATAATTTCACTTACCTCCTTTGAGGTTAGGCGTAATTACAGGCGGTACCCCTTACGTTTCAAAAATTACATCGTCCTTCCCTCAAGGTTTGCTCCGTCATAACACTTTGCTCCCTCCGGTCAAAGTCAACGTCGGTCAATTATGGTTTCTAATGACATCGGCTATTTTTAACCCTGTAATACCACATTTGCCCTTATTATCTCTGCAAAGACATTTTAACCCTTACTTTTGTATTAAAATAACCTATATACCCAGAATAAAAAGACAAAAAAGCCATGCACAATATCTTTATAAGCCCACACTAGTTTTTCTCTTTATATACATATATACTGGTCATTATATATATGTATGTATATATATGTATGTATGTATGTATACTGGTCACTATATATATATACACACACACACATATATATGTGTAAATATACACTAGTTACCATAATTGTTTCTCTCTCTTGATCTATATATGCATAAATATTATATACACACACAACATGAAGAAAGGAAATTAGGGAAAAACAATCTAGAGATAGGTCATTCAATATGCACAAATTTAATTGAACGGCAATAGGTAAATCAATGTAAATTGGAATCAAATTCTGTGTGTATTCAAGTAACCGTGGTAGACTCTCAAACGTCGACACAGTAATCCATAGCCACACCCAACCTCGCCATCTGCCACTGATTGTAGTTGAGAGAGCTTTTTATCGCCGACGATATACTCCCAAAGAGATACCCAATCCCTACACACGATTATATTCACATTGTGGCCACGATTTTTAATTGAAGACCAAGTGGTGATGGCCGTTATGGTGGTGGTGAAGATGGTGGTTGTGTTGTGGCGGTGGTGGTGAAGACAGTGGTTTTGTTGTGGCCGTGGTGGTGCTATGGCGGTGGTGAAAATGGTAGCTGCTTTGCCTTTGTGGTCTGCAAAATTTAGGGCTCAAACATGAAACATTTGATAGGGTAAAAACTTTTTTAAAAATAATAATAATAAATAAATAAAATTTGTTAGGGTAAAAGCGTCATTTGATAGCTTTTCATTATTATTAATATAATAATGGAGGGTATATTGGTACATTCACATAGATTTATAATACAACAGCTGGCAGTCCCATTGAAGGGAGGTCACTGTAATTTTTTAAAATTAAGGAGTATTGCCTGTAATTACGCCTAACCTCAAGGAATGTAAGTGAAATTATCCCTAATTGGAACTCAAACTAAAATTCTATAAAAATAAAATTGGTTTAACCGAACACCAATTGTATTTTGATAGCCTTACTCTAGTGTAATGATATTGCTCCCTCCTTGTAACAAAACAAACTAGGTAGATTTTATTAACTTCGATGTTATGGATCATCCAAATACCATTTTTATGACACAATTATAATTTTTACAAAATAAGTAATAATTATAATCTACAAATAACGGCGCAAGTTAAAAGAATGTACACTTGCACTTCATCTTTTCTATTTTTCTAAATAACAAATTTGTTCTTTAAAAAACACTTTTCACTTTTAAGGCAACATTTGGTCATTTCCTTTATCTAAAAATTCAAATGCTAATACACAAAAGTGGAGTGCCAACTGCCAATGTTATAGAGCATTTTATGAGCTGTTTTGACAAAATAAAGGGTAAATTAAATCGCTCTTTCTTAAAGTATTACACACAAATGGATCATTTAGCTTTGCCAGAAATATTATGCTAGGGATGTTGTTGAGTATATACACTAAATGTCAAGGGAGGTAATAATTGGATTTAAAAACGTAAACAGTCTATCGGTATGTAATTTGCCTAAACCTCAATAAATTTCAATGTAATTAATCCAACTATAAAAAGGCAATAGCCTGATGGTATTTCTTCACCTTTCAAAATAAAAGGCCGAGAATCAAATCCCCGGGACAAAGTCATGTTTGAAAGCCGAACTACAAAAAATCAGCCAAGGAATATCAAACAGAACGTTAGGGAACCAAAATGCATCTAGATTGGGGTTTCTAACAAGCTTAACTACACTAATGTTTATCAATTCGCTATTGAATTTTGACATCCTCGAATAGAATGAGGCTAATGACACTTTTAAGTACTGAACTAGAGCAACAATTGACTAAATTTCACACACACACACACGTGTGAAATTTTTGTGAATGTGCTAGTATTTACCTAATATATATATATATGTGTGTGTGTGTGTGTGAAATTTTTGTGAATGTGCTAGTATATATATATATTAGGTAAATACTAGCACATTCACAAAAATTTCCAGATTTGAATCCTTGCATACCCTTTACAAAAGGAGAAATACCACAAACAATGAGATGTTACAAAATAGCGCTAAACTCTTCCTAAAATCAGCCGAAGTGACAGTCATCAAACATTGTTTAACGACTGCAGGACAACAGATGTATACAATAATATAGAATATGTTCTTAACCATTAAGTTGGATCAGACGGACCTCACTATACCCAGTAGAGGGCGTGGTTGAAGGTTGGTGGAGCGCCAATGGCTGGAGGATGATGATAACTAGTTTAAAGGGGTTGAAAGAGAGACTTCACCTTCTCACAAATATAAGGTTTCAACTACAAACAGACACCAAAAATAACAATAAAAAATAAAGGGCAAGCGAACTTCGAAGCTTCATTTGAGTATTAACACTGGAAAAAATAAAAAAAATAAAAATATTCAATTTCAGTTCAACCTCAAATCAACAAAAAAATGTGCAAATTTCGACCACTGTCAAAAGGAACATGATTTCGCATGAATAAGAAGAAAACAAGGCTTATGAACATTTAGGTAGTAAGGTCTAGCCATGAAGAGTGTTCTTTATGATGCATTTAACACGAAAATTGTGTACAGCAGAGTTCCCTGATCAACAAAGATGGTACTAAGGATTTAACCATTTGCTATAAATGTCCCAAAAACACCCATCAAACAATTAGGTAGACAAGCTAGCCACCTCTGTCTTACTGCATGTTCATTACCAGTCTTTGAAGCATTAAGTTTTGGTATTAACTGTGTATTTTGGCAATTCACTCTTTCACAAAATTATCACATGCAAAGTATCTCAAAACCATCAAGAGGATTTTAACATGGACAAACAATCTACTACATTTTATAATCACAATCTCTCAAGCAAACCTGTAAATAGATTCCATTTCACTTTCTGTAAACCAGGAGCTCATTTCAATTTTACAGCACAGAATCGAAGGCAATTCAACACAGATTTTTGGATTAAGGATTAACGACCACTTCACAATTTTTGTGTCTGTAACAGATGTGCACTGTGTGGGGTAAAAGAAAAAGATAAGAAGCTAACTCTGATTGCTAGTGGGAGGCCGTCCACGTCCCATTGTAAATCCTTTGGTTCCATCTGGCATTCTTGGGCCGGGAGGTGGCTTTGGAATTTCATAGCTGTGACTAGATGAAACAGTTCCGTGGCCTTAAATTGTTTTTTCAAACCCCAAAAGAATCAATCAGTCAGTATAATGAAACAAGAGTTCTGTAAAAAGGGGGAAAGAATTAAAGGTTTGATAGGATTTGTTTGTATACCCTGCCCACTAGAACCATGATACTTCTGTCTTCTTGCACGTCCTCTGTTTCGTCCCCTGTGCCCATTTTTCTCCTTCGACAAATTCTCCTCGTGCTGTAATAAGGCAGAAGCTAAACATTAACATATATTCTCGAAGTAGAACACATTCAAACTTGACAACAAAATTTCTACTTATCAAAACATTACTAATAAAGTATAGGGTAAAATGCAAGAAACTCCCCTGAACTATGGGGGTTTTGCAACTAACCCCCCTGGACTACAAAAAACCCCCTTGGACTTTGATTTTGTTGCATATTACCCCATCAGGTCACCAGAAAAGATAAATGACATTTTTACCCTTATTATGAAACTACACCGTTTGAAGCATTGTCAAATTAATTTGCCGACGTGGCAAAAAAATCTCAACGGCCAATGGGATATTGACAGCACACCAAAGAGATAATGTACGTACTCTCTTTTACTCCATCACACCAACAACCAGCTCTTATTCGTGCCAGAGACACACAGACATCCATTTGTGGAGTTAATATAAATGAAGCCAGAATGATTGCCTTGTAACCTACATGATATCAAGCAATACACTGTGTGGAATAACAAGTGGGCAACTATAATTATCCTGCCTTTTTTGTTCTAAGCCTCTAAGGTAAGGGGTAAATCTTCTATTTCAAGCATCCCATAAATTTTCAAAATTCAATAATCAACTAGACCAATGAAAATAGATTCAAATTGATCAAAAAGGAGAGAAAATATTCAATAAACATGCGATTGGTAAAAGCGAAAAAGGAACCCAGTACCATAAATTGGAATTATTGGATCCCATTTTTTGCCAATAAGAACAAATCTTTGTCCGCTGTTGAGAGCAATGGTCCGACAACCCGTTTTATGCTTTTTAACAATCTTCGGCGACCTGCTCAACTAGCTGCCATCGCCATCATCACCAATCGTTCTTGCTCAGCCGCAGCCAATCGCTGCCGATCCGTCCGTGCGACCCTCTACCTTGCCGTCGACAGACCAGTAAGCCCCGTCGCCGGCGACCTGTTCCTCTCTCTCCGGATCTCTTCTCAGTTTATGACTCGCCATTTCACCGCCGTCCTTCCGCATCATGACGTCCGTGTTCACTGGCAGTTCTTGCTTCTCGCTATTCCGTCCTCTGTACAGTCACTGGACCATTCCGTCCTCTGTGTTACAGTTTGACATGCGGTGAATCGCTGATCTTGTCTTCCTAGATTTTAATGAACTCATCCTTGCCGTAAAACCATACGATCCCCCAAACTAGGAAATTGAGAACGCTTTAAGACCTTCGCGTGTTACAGGGACGATTCAGAGTTGTGGATTTGGGGAAATTTTGATAAAGGCTTGTTTGGTCGGTGTTTTAAAATGAAGGTCCTTTGGGTCAACTGTTGGAAATTAAGGGCATTATTGTCCTTTCATGCTTCTATGGGCAGTATGGTCATTTAAATTTAAGAAACCAAATTTAACGGTCATATATCACCGGACGTTGAACGGATGGAGTGATTTGCAACAATTTTGCATAGTTCAAGGGGTTTCTTGCATTTTTGGAAGTTTAGGGGGTTAGTTGCAAGTTTACCCATAGTTCAGGGGGCTTTCTTGCATTTTACCCTAAATTATATAACATTAAATTATTTGTCTATTGTATAGACATGCATCCGTTGAAGGGGAAGATTGCTTTCATTTGTGCTAATCTAGGAAAGTTCCTGAAATTCCCTTTTTTCCCCCACTTGGTTGCCAGAGAACAAACAAAAGGCAAAATAGGAATGTTACAATCATTAATTGTTGAAAGGAAAGTGTTTCTTCCTATCTATTATAAACCTTGTAAAGGAATAATAAGTCACATGCCTACGATAGACTTTTCACTTTACAAAAATGTATCCATGCACATTTTTATTTTTTATATACAATTTTATGACAATTAATCAAATATTTCATTTTTAATGATAATTAATATCCTCTCTAAATTTTAAGCGCGCACGCACACACAATATAGCACAATATAGATGTGTTACGGAAGTTTATAAGTTTAATCTATTGTTTTAAAATCATGCTTTTTTGTAAGATAATAATTTTACTTTAGATTTTCTTTTTCGTCTTTGGATAAATTAAAATAATTTTATAATTGTCTTGTACAAAAGATGCATATCATGTATTTTACTTGTATCACTAAACATACAGAACATGTAAAACTACAAACCTCTTCATCCGGTGTGTCATCTTGGTGTTCACTTGAACAATGGTTCTCCATATCTCCAGCTGGATCAGATGTTTGGACATTGGTATTCTTCTCAGACTCCGGTTCCCTCCAGCCTTTTTGCTTTTGTCCATTCTTGCCCTAATGTAGTAGAGAAGAAACTAATTATCCACCATAGCTGATAGTTAAAGCAGATAAAAATGCCAATTACCATTCGTTTGAGAAGTTTGACCCGCATGCCATATCTCCAATCTTGCTCATCATTCAACATAGCCACCTAACCAATTTATCATCAGTGAAAAGTACCAAAACCTAATAAATTTTTATTCCAACAAAATAAACCATAAGCACGAGAAATGAATAGGGACTTTCACACTCACAGATTTCTCAGCTGCCTCCACAGTCTCATACTCCACGAGAGCATGTAACTGCAAACAAAAAGCAGAAGGATGGATTAATTGCCCAACAAAATTAACACACTACAATTACAAGATTCCAGCATTCTTCAGACAATATTGAAAATCGGATACCAAAGGCTATGTAGCCTAGTGGTACTTCCTCGCCTTCCAAAGTAGAAGGTCAAGGGTTCAAGTCCCTGTAGGGGCATGTGGGTGTAAGTGTGTTTCTTGCCAATGGAAAAAAACAAAAACAAAAAGAAGAAAATATTCAAAACCGGATATATCAGTAATCAGATTGATTTATTTTCACACATTATGCAGTAAACTTTCAACATTGTGCAATATATGTGTGTAAACCATCTAATTTTTTTCCATACCTTACCAAGTAGAAGCTTCTCTGCAATTGTGCGTTTTTTGCGTTCTCCTACATCATGTGGGTCGTGGATGCAAATACTCTTTATACTGAAATATTTAAAATCATTCTACAGCTGTTACACATCTAAATAAGAAATAAAAAATCAATAAAAAAATTTGCATGAAAGGAGGAGAGATAAAAATATAAACATACTTTCCAGCTTCCCCAAATATTCGCTGAATATTCTCTGTTGAATGATCCTCAGGTAGATTTTCTACCAAAACAGTGCATAACTAGGGTCCACCAATTAGATGCTAAAGACTAAAAAAAATAATAATAATAATATTGAAATACAGAGTTTTCAGTTTCATAAATACCTTCGGATCCCTGACCTCCGTGGATGGAAGGGGATTAAGTCGCCTCACCCTCTTCCCATCTGAACTAACAACCTGCAGTTACCCATAAAAGAGATTTGTGTTCATGATTTTAGCCATGGGAACAGAGACAAGAAAACTTACAGATGCCAAGAAAAGTACCAATATAAGCAACAGATTAAGCCTGCGTTAAGCACCTAAATGAATGTATATGTCGTAATTTTAACAAAGAGAATCCTTCTATGTTGGGAGAGGGGGGAAGAACAGGAAATCCAAAAACAAATGGAAAATAAACTTCCTGGAGAAAATATATAGCTTACAAGAAGAGAAGATTCCCTGATTGCAGCCACCATCAATGACCTGTCTAGGCTGATCTTTTTCATTTTCCTAAATGAACAAATAACTGCAACAGGAACTGCAAAAAGCAACATGCCACTTATTTGCACTGCAACTTCTCAATAAAATAAATATATGGAAAAAAAATTAAACTAAAAGAACAGAAATTTTAACCCTTCGCAGAATTGTATTGTTTATTCCATACTTGCGGTATTTGTTTCCATTCCATAGTTACCAGTCAGGTTTGTATTGTTTATTCCATATTTTCAAATCGTGCATCATATTATACCTTATCATGTATCATGAGTTACATAATAATGCATGAAATAAGTAGTAAAAACAGAATATTATGAGCAGAAAAATCTGATAAAATATCAAAAATCGAAGGATGTAATCCTTAGTTGCATGACCAGTAGATTGTTGCATATTCATTTCTTGAGATTTAACTCCAAAATTGATGCACTATTAAAGATGAATTTATTAAAAGAAAATTAATTTCATTGCATTGATTAATAAATTACAGATCAAACTATGATGAGAAGTCTCCAAATTATTCATTTGAAAGAAGTTATAGTTGCAAGAGTATCAAATACTTAAAATACATGATGCTAATTATGATCTGATACCCAATTGTATGGATTTCGAGTTCTAACCATCATATTTAAGTTTCAAACATTTATCCTATAATGGAAACTTCTCGTGCTTCACAAATTTTGGACAGGAAAAATGTAATAAACACCCTCCCTATGATGTTGAAGGCAGAAATCAACTCTATCAAATTCTAAATACTACTAATTTATATTGGCAGGATGGGATTAACGGAAAAATGTTCTGTATAGGTACTTCCAAAGTTGAATCGTAAAATTCTCTACAACAGCTATTAGCCGACCATATATTACTAGACAGAATATTAATTTAGGAAACAGCCTATTTATACGAAAGAATAATCATCCAAGAAACAGCATATTTTTTTATAAAGAAAAAAGAAAAGAAAAGAAAAAATAGAGAGTCAAAAATTGCAAATGTTGAGACAGACGTGTGGCAAAACAAGAATAATATTAGATTCAAGATATTTGCGAACTATAGATCTCTAGTGACCAAAAAATTAAGCATATATACAAATAAATACGAAAGTGCTGACAAGAGAAACTATAGATCTCTAGTGGCCAAAAAAAGAAAAGAAAAACTTCAACATCCCTTTTACACATGCGACGTGATTGTTATAAGTTCTGCCTCTTCAAGAACATCCTAATTTCACAAGTTCACCATACATATTTGAGAACTACATGAGCATTAATTAATTAGAAATGGTAAATGTGGTTTGACCAAAGTTCACCAAATAGTTGGGAGTAGGCTTTTTTAGTTGAGTATGGGTATTATTACTTGACCACTAGAAGGTTACAATTTAGTGTTACTTACATAGAGTAGTTATACATCCTCAGTTTTACCCCCCAAAAACTACCGATAGAAGAAATAACAATACAATATATTAGCAAATTAAAGTTTTTAGGGGCCAATTGGGACTTTGAAATCAAATACCATTGATACAAAAAAATCTCGTCGTGGGACTTGTTTAGAACCTAAAACTTTCCCATTAATTTCATAAACTCCAATCAAGTGAATTAGAGTTCAAGATTTACATGAAGCAAACCTCTCTTTTTTCTTTTTATTTTTGGTGGCGGGGAGCAACTCTTACTATACCATCTACTCAACCTGGCATAGTTTTGCTTCCCACCACTGGCTGCACATGTTAGTCTGAATCCTCTTATCTAAAATTTTATTTTAATACAAATACAATATAACTTCAATAGTTACAAAGACACTATGTAACAAGGACTGGCTGCACATATTAGTCTGAATCCTCTGATCTAAAATTTTATTTTAATACAAATACAATATAACTTCAATAGTTACAAAGACACTACGTAACAAGGATAAATATGTCAAGCTGAGGGAAAAAGGACAAAGGAACAGGTCAAGACACGCTTTTAAAAAGCAAACAAAACGGAAAAAAAAAATAATAATAAGGGAACTATATCCTACTTGTTAAAAAAGTGGATGACTAAATAAACAGTTTACCAAAACATTTTCAAAAGGCTAAATTTGAATGGAAAAAAATAAAAATAAAAAATCTAAGTACTCACCAAATCCTTCCTTGTCCTTGGTCACATATTTCATCAGAAAGTTGTCAGTGGGCAGATTTTCATCACTAAAGTAATACTCTACCTGCAGAAAGATAAAAGTACTTCAATAAGTGAAACAAATAAATAACGCAAAATTTAACCTTAATACGTAGAAGCTGCCACATGAACTCTTCAGCGGTTCCCTAACAGCAATCACGTTCAAGGATGAACTTCACATCACAAATAAGGCAACTCGTGGAAACTTAAGCTCTAAAATGGCGAGAAAGCTCGATCTAGAGTCATAATTTCAACTAAATTTCAGACAAAGGTAAGAATGATAAACACGACTCAAGTCCAGCTTCCTGTTCAAGTGAGCCAACATCAAAATTCTGATGGTTCACTTCCACTATTGACATAGTGCCAATATGATGCCACTTAAAAATTAAAAACAAAGCGATAGCTTGTAGCTCTTCAGAACACAACACGGTTCCTATACGTACCTGGATGGCTTATTTTAATTATGAACATAGAAAGAGAACCGACAATCTAGAAGTAGGAGTATTGACTTCAAATTCGGTGATCAGTTGGTCAAGAAACTTATTAAAACCACCTGAATATAGCACTCACAGAATATAGTGTGGTCTTTTCATTAATCTGTAGGTGTAGCTCCTGAGATCTGACAGCCAATTAAAAAAATTAAGCATACATTTACCATTTTAATGTATGTCGGAATAGTAATTCAAGGGAAAGACAGCTCGAACTAAAAGGCAAGGAATTTGTACTTTTTTTTATTGCACTACCAAAAATATATATGAGCACAATGGCGCAAGTGTATGCACTATTGTTTTGGAAGAAGATTTCCCTTCAGGCCTTCACTAAGGTCATTTCCTAGAACCTTCACAATCTCTCCAAACATTGTCTTCCATCTCTATTGGAAGAGGAAATGAAATGGAATTTAACACTTACAACTCCTTAGTTGATGCTTTTTACGTACATAAGTTAAATGAAAAAAGAAAGGGTAGCCATTATGTCAACTTATTTCATTCAAATAATTGTCCAAAAATAAAAAACAATTGACTATCTCAGTTTATCATTTTGTTTTCCCCCCACTTGATTGAAGACCAAATAGAGCACATATTAAAAAATTGAACAAATAAAACACCACTCATAAAGCTTCATACCAAACTTGGATTAAACATAACCACCCTGAAAGTGGATAATTCACAACCCTACTCGATTTCACGATAATGCCTATTACAAAAAAGCACATAGTTTAAATACTAGTTAAATTAAAGTAACATCCAGTACAAGAAATGAAACCCTTGAACCCTATACTCCAATTCCAAAAACACAATTCGCATCATTTATAAGCCTAGTTGGATTAAACATAACAACTCTGTGGATGTATTTTACAACCCAACTTAATTTTTAATATAAACCCATTAGACGAAATATATAGTCTAAAATACTAGTTAAATTTTAAAAAATCCTGTAGAAATGAAACCCTATTTCGATTGCAAAACACAGTCCGCGTCATTAGTAGCCCTAATTGGAACCAAACCACCATTAGTAGAAATGTATTTTTCAAAACCATATTCACATTCAAATCACCAAAGAGAGACAAATAATTCAAAAAACAAATAAAAATTTGAAGCATAAAACAGTGTAGTATTAAAAGCAAAACCGAGCAAGCCTTGGTGACCAACAGACCAGAAACATACATATATATATATATATATATATATATATATATATAGAGAGAGAGAGAGAGAGAGAGAGAGAGAGAGAGATGCCTGCTTGATGATCTTGTCTCGGAGATCATCGGTGAGAACGAGGGTCTGAGATGACGGATGGTCGTCAGATGGCTGCGGAACTTCTTGTAAGTGAGAGTCAGGAGATCCGACTGCGGAGAAGTCAGGATCCTGCGGTGGAGATGAGGGGGCGGCTGCGGCGGAGGCGGTGTCGGTGGAGGTGGCGGTGACGGTGACGGTGACGGTGGCGGTGACTCCCTCGGATTCCATTGTCGCACAGAGGGAGGAGGAAAGCGGAGCCAGAAATGTCGAAACCTCGGACGCTCTGTTTCTTCTCCTGCTCTTTCAACCGTGATTCTTGATGCATTATACACGTAAAGGGAATCGTTGGGTCCGTACCTGTCTTTTCACATTTGAGTAAAATTATTTTGGATAAATTACAATGACACCTCCTTAGGTTTGACACAGTTATAAATAAGTTGAACATTTTTTGAACAATAATACTCTCTGTCAGAATTTTGATCCAAACAGGCCCTTAATAAGTTGAAAAAGACGAGATTGTCCATCAATATTTAATTGATTTTAATTGTAAAATATCAAAATCTTGAAAGGACATTTTTACCCTTCTACCCTCCTTTTCTCTATCCTCTTTATCTCTTTTTAAACACTCGCCTGAGATCGAGGTTAGGTGAGATGTGGCATATCGTTAGGTCCAGCTCACCGTTGATGGTGCACAGCTCAAACAAATTCGAAGCTCGGAGTGTGTAGTCCAATGCCTTGATCGGGCCATCACCAGCGGTGCTTATATCACGCGCAAGTTTCAGAAGGAACGGGCTGTGATCAGGTCGAGAGAGGATAACTGACTACTTCGACGACTTCTTCTTGACGAAGCTCTAATTCAGCGATGGTTTGGCCTGTAAAGTCTACAGCGAAGGCAAGGGAGGTCGCCTTGGGACTGGCGGTGCTATCCAGACGGAACGGATCTTGTCAGCGCTAGCGGGCTGAGTGGCGGCTGAGTATTGCGGTACTGTTATGGTTGCTGGAGCTTCTGCAGTGGCACGGTTGCTGGAGGCGATGGTTGCTGGTGGTAATACATAGGTTGTTGGGGTGGTTGTTGTGGGGGTGGGGGCTGATTCTGATTCATCATCATCCATTGTTGGTACTGTTGGTGTTGATTGTGATTTTGTTGATGATCCAAGTTTAGCCGGCGGCGACGATTTGGGGTTGGAGAGAAAAATAGTGTCTCAACAGTTTTGGGGTCTCCATTGAAACTGGTTTGGATAGAAATTTTTTGTGATTAATTTGAGAAATTTTTTGTCATTGGATTATAATTGTATGTGTATATAATTGTGTATGTTTGTAATACAAGTGTGTGTGTGTGTGTATAAGAGAATAAATAGAGGAAAGAAGAGGTGGTGGTGGTGCTGCTGCTGCTGCGGCTGCGGCTACGAAAGAGGGAGTGGAGGCTTTGTGGGTAGGTGCTTGAGATGAAAGGTTATTTTAGACATTTTAGATTGGGTAAATTGGTAATTTTACTATTTCAAAGTTAACTTCAAAGTCAAGGGACATTTAGGTCATTTTAACACATGTCAATCACTAAGGGTGTCTTCGTCAAAGGGAGCAAAACTGAAGGGGTATCGTTGTTCAAAAATAGACTAACTTGTAAATGACTGTCATTACAACAAACCTCAGGATGTCATTATAATTTACCCAATTATTTTCTTCTTTGGTCTTTCCTTTTCTTTAACTTTTCCTATTTTCTTTTATTTTATTTTTTTCTAGCTACTGTACATTTGATTAAATATGATCATTTCAATATGAATTCAACATTTAATACGATGATTCAATGATTCAAATTTTATGACATATTTGAATAATATTTACATAGTATCAAAACATTTTTATCGTTATTTCCTCTCTTCTTTATTTTTTATTTTTTATTATTTTTTCTTACTCTTTAATATTTTTTCTTTAAGAGACAGTCAAAGAATTTGTCTTCTCAATTTTTTTCCCCTAGTCATTATTTGCTTCGACTTTGATCCACCATTTACAAGTCTATTTTTCTGTCCTATGATCCAGACTTGGATTCATTTGCAAGTCTGCACTTCCATTCCATTCTAGGATTGTGGAATGCAAATATCACATTACTTCTCCATTTTTCTAACATACTTTATTGTTTAAAAAGTAATTTTTACCAAACGTGTTTCCTTCTTCTTTTTTGCTTTGAATAAGTAAAGATGGAATGACTGAAATTTATTTCTTTATTTTCCTTCTCATTTATTTCCCACCAATTAATAAATAAATAAATAAAAACATTCAATTTCTTCATTCCTCCTAGTTTATATTTAAATTATATTTAATGGGTGGAAAATCCATTATCTTAACAAGATTATGAAGAGCATGATATGCATGTTAACAAACCATATTCTAAAGAATTTTAAAGGTTTTAAATTAAGGGTTTGGAGCTGCATTTGCAACTATTAAAAACGTTTTTAATTTAAAAAAATTAACTTTTAATTTTGTTTGGCTATCAATATTGTGTGTGAGAACTGAGAAGTCTTTAGATCAATATCATTCCCATTTCTCCTCACAAAATTAAAACAACATAGACATGGGAACATGGTTTTCCAAAATCCCATTCTACAACCATAAACCACAGCATACAAAGCTTTGTCAAGCAATTGAGCCAACCTTGAACCTAAACCAAAACCAAAACAAGCAAAATCCCTGAACCCAACATTAACCCCAATCCTCCAAGCCCCTTTCTGTTAGATCCTGACACTGCCACCTTCACATCATCCACCACCGGTCCGCACAGAGAGCTCTGATCATCGCTCCTCGTATTGTAATACACGCTGCAGAACGCAACACGCGTCCTCTCGGCCTTGGCAGTGAAATTCAGAGTAGCAGTGTGGAATGTGGCATTGGCATTGGGTGTGTAATGGATGCTCTGGGCTTGATCTCCAGCATAGGCCATGACTGCTAGTGGTTGCTTGCAAGAGTCCCCTGCATGCCCCAAAGAAAAGGTCAACCTGTATGGCTTGTTGGGCATGGTTTCCACCATTTGGGAGACTATGCCTTCCTTGCCGGACAGCAATTCGATAGCACGTTTGCCTTGTGGGACAGTGTAATGGTACGAGTCGATGTAACGGACAGCTCTGTTTGATTCAACAATCCAACCGGGCAAAGAGGAGGTTTCTTCGTCGAGGTTGGTGGGGAGTAAGACCCCGAGTGAAGCATTTCTGAACATCCATGCACCTTCTTCAAAATCACCGTTAAGTACTGCATTATCTGCATCAATATTGTCATTGTCAATAAGTTTCTAAACCACTACTATTAAGGTTTGCTAGGCTTTAGTACAAGACACCACCCACACACTCACAGGCATAAGTTCACTCTCATGATTCTCATCCTTCTAAATACCGAAATAACACATTTCTAATTTTCTACTGGCTGCATTATCCTCTAAATCAGCATCAATTCAAAAAACTAAGATAACTAGTGTAGTTTTGTATAACAAACTACACTACAACAACGAGGGAAAATGAATTTTCCCGATAATTACTCAATGCATGTGGAACCAATAATTGCATGTCGATTATGGAAGTACTCTAAAAAGATACATGTGACGTCAGTAACTACCACCATCGGAAGTGTAAGTATCGTACAACAAGTCCTACAGATTAGTCATTTTCCACCATTACTATCTGCTTCCTTCTAGAACCCAATGTTCTTACATCTCATATATAGTTTAGCCATCAAAAATTGACTCAAATTGCTTTAGCATTGTCTTTTAAGATTATCTTTTTGGTCTCCAAATGTATATTGGTTTGGTAAGAAACTCACCCACCTATTATTTTTAGGAAGATTCGACCATTCACCTTTTATATTAAGAGGTAGTTGATATACTATTAAATAGTATTTGGAAAAGTATTTTGAATATGCCACATTTCCAGGAGACCAGTAACTAATACATACGTATATATATATTTACATTTATGTATTACGGAGTATATTTTTCAGATCTCCAATACGGTGCAAAATGAAAAATTATCATTTAAAAAAATCAATATCATTTTTCAAATTTTTTTTTTTTAAAAAAGTGTCTACAGAAAATTGAAACAATAACAATCAGAAATAGTGTATCAAAAATTAAGTTTATTCAATGATTGCATTTGATTATGTTTAATATTAATTTTATATCCAAAAGAATGAAAAAATACTCAACACATAATTAATTAATTATTTTTTGACTGTCCCACACTCCCACCTGGTCACATGACCATCAAATGACAAAAAATGAGATGCAGTTGCTGTGATTTCAGCATCATGCAGATGTAGGGCAGTGATTTCACCTTTGCTTGTGGGCCATGCTGGTGATCAACAAAACTCAAGGAGTCAAGGGCCAATGTTATCTGGGACCCACTAACATATGCATTCTCAACCGTACGATTGATGACTAGTGTTACTTACCTTTGGGTTTATCAGGGGTGAAGAGCTCCTTGATTGCAATATCATCAATTATGGGCCCACATGTAGGGTCATCCTCCATCCCGGGATTTCTAAAAACGACCCGCGCATAATCATCCTCCGCCTGAAACGCCCACGCGTACGAATCCCAGCCCTGCACGCTGTAGAGGGTCTGTAGATCAATGGTCTGTGATGCCGGTGGCACGGACACGTTGAGTGACTCGAGCTGAGCGCACGTGCGCGCCGCACTGAACGTGACGGAGTAGAGCGAGCCCTTCTGGACCTTCGTTTCTTGGCTGATCTCTGCGTCGTTGCCGAGCCTCACCGCGTGTATACCCTGTGGTACGATGAGGAACATTGCACCCTGTTTTTGCCCAGATTCGACTAGCTCTACGGTGCCGTTTGATTTCCAGCTGGGGATCGTGACGTGTCCATCTCCGAGACCGTCGTCTGAGAAGCCGCCTGATGGTGGCGTCTCGAAATCACCGTTGATTAGTAGACCTGCAAGATCGATCGATCTGACGGCTGTTAGCAACTGAAAGCCAATGGACCCACTAAAGTATCGTAGCAACAGTCCAGTCTGGTGGACCCATTTTGCGCACAGAAAATGTTATCATGAACTCTTTCAATCTGTCCAATGTCCATCGCTCTCTTTAAGGGAGTATATACAAAATGTTAGCTTAATTTTAAAATTTGCATTCCATCATAGGCTTCTATGTATATTTGAGCTAAAAAAAAAAATTTCATGTCATGGACTTAAATCTTTGTCAAATAATAGAAAAATATTTTATCTAAAAAAAATTTTTTTTTTAAAATATATTTCGTCAAAACAAACATAGGCTTAATGATCAGTAAAAAAAGTTCACAGTTTTATTAAAAAATATATTAAAAAATTAACGTTCATAATAGTATCATTATTAATGTTTTTTCATAAAAGTATCATTATTTGGAAAAAATAAATAATACTATCATTATTCAAAGCTGGAATGCCTCTTATATGAGTTCCACATCATAGAGAGAAATCATTGTCATTAATAAGAGGTTGTCTCTTATATGTGTTTTAACAAAACAAATTATATTTGCACCCCTTATGAGAAGGGCGTTGGCTATATCCACTCAAAACGGAAAATATCTCCTACTTTAAATTGTCTAAATGATAAATACTCAAAGCCGCGTCAAGTGAGGATTATCTATACATTATTAGGTCTTATTTCAAACTCTCAAAAGACTAGAAATTATCACATTTTTGTATCAATTCCTAATTGACAAGCAAATTAGTACATTAATTTTATATTAATTTTATTAATTATTTTTTAAAACTTTCGTGTAAACTAATGAGTGATCGGGACTGTTATCTCCACTAATCCACCATACAATAATTTCTTCCCAAAAGTCATATTAAATCAAAGTAAGAGAAAATTGATGGTAATGATTGATCCTCACAACCCCATGGACAACCTTCCTCATTATTTTTCATAGCCTTTGGACCAAATGCCTTACCTACAAAATATCTAACTAATTCATCTCGAAAATAGCAACGGCCGGTTTAGAAAGTGGTGTGTTAAATATCCAATCTTTCACAATTTCCCCTTCCTTTTTAAAAAAAAATCAAAATCAAAAGAGACAAAATGTGGGTCCCAATAAAAAAGAGGGTGCATGATCGCGCACGCCATTGTAGCATAACTCATTTGGCATGTAGCAATGATGTGATGTGAACAGAATAGGACCAGTTTCATTCAACAACAAACCACGCGGCCGCGTCCAGCGCGTGGGACCCATCACCCCCGCCTGGCTCGTCTTTTCCCGCGCCGATCGTTGCAGAGATCGAGAGAAGGTTTTGTCTCGCTGTTTCGCGACATTGCATTGTCCACAATTCACATTGCACATTTATACACGTCCAAACAGGCCCTAGAAAATATATTTTCGGAAAAATCATGTTATCTTTTTTTTTTTTTCGATAATTGTTAAATGACTCAAATAACAAATATTGTTCTATTTAATTGCCTTCTAGATAGTCAGAATCATGTAGAACGCTTCATCCACCATAATGAAGTAACTCAACTAGAGGGTCTAAATTGGTTTGATAAATTAAATATAACTATGGAGATGAGTATCGTATGATTTCTAGATTCTCTATTAGACTATAAAACATTATCGTAAAAAAATTAAAATTAAAACTAAAACATTATCAAATGATCGTATTCTACCGACTAAGCAATAGGGGCACTCAACAAGCATAATCTTTAGATGATGACACTACAAAGCACAAATTTAAGTAGAAAAAAAATAATAATAATAAAGATACATAAGCTAGAGAGAGAAAATTGGAAATGAAAAGTGAGAGCACATTTGGAGAGAGAAACAGAGAAGGGTACCGTCTTCTGCTAGTAGAGTAGTAGCGAAGTGAGCGACGAGAAGCAGATACATTGAGACCCATTCGCCTCTTGTTGACCTCCAAACCATCCTTGTGGCTAATGGCGCAAATCCTCAATCTTTCTCTTACTGTTTTTTTCTCTCACTACTTCTTGCCTCCTCTCTCTCTAGAAACAGAGTGCGCAGAGAAATGAGAAGAGTGCAGAGAAAGTGTCTTTTATCCAAGATTCCTGCTCTTTGGTCTCTCTCTACCTCTCTACTCTTTTTTCACCTTTTTGTAATCACTTTAATTAAATCAATGATCAAAGATTTACTTTCAGTTTCGAAAGCAAAGGATTTCTTAATCGCTTTTAATTATGTTAATAAAAAAAATTGCTTTTAATTGAAAAAATTAGATTTTTTTTTTTTTTATTGCTAGTTAAACAATTCTTCCAATACATATCGTTTTCACTTTCTAACGTTTCGTGCGTTCTTATAATCAATCTCTCTTGTAACATGTAACTCGTATTGTTTTATCATATTTCGTATAACTCATGTTATTTTATGTATGATCGTCATTGTTGTCATCAATTAATTACTTTGTCATTAAATAATTATATATCTTTTTTTTTATAAATAAAAATACATCTATTTTATTAAACCGGATTATTAGGTGTCATTATTTATTTAACTGCTGAGTGGTATTATGTCTGGGTATTCCTACCACATTAATGTTATATATATATATAATTATATAAAGTTCCGTGTTTTGAGAGAGATGGTCCACCGCCATATTTTGACAGTGATGAAAGCACTCGTGAGATTAATAATTTTATATTAGGCACATTTGATGATAGTTTAATTATTTAAATTTATATTATGTACATTTGATGAGAGTTTAATTATATGTCTTGTTAAGTTTGTTTATCAAGAAAAGTTTTTGGTTATCCTTTTTTGTTGGCATCTGATTTGTTCTTCTTTTGGGCCCGAAGTGTTCGCATCACTTGGGCTGGATCATAGTTTTTTTTTTTTTGGATTTTAAAGCCACTGAATATATATATAAATGGAAAATGGTAGTAATTACAGAGAGGGCCATTAGGCCAAACCAGTCCATTAGACTGAACAATCAAGCCCAAAAGAGGCCTACAAGAGAAAAGCCCAAACAAAACAAACAACCTACATTAACTGTTTTGTAGAACCGTTAATGGAGGGTGTAAGAGCACAAATCCGGTGAACACCCAGTAGGCAGCATTGCCGCCGGCGAGACTTAGTTCGGAGGCCTTGGAGGGGGACGACAACAAGAGGGGGACAAATTCTAGTCTTGAAGGATTCGCCTAGATGCAGGGCAATCTTGGAGAAAACCCAATTTCAAAATTAAAGTTACTGTTGAGCAAATCTTCTAAAGCACGATCCTCTGAGTTTAATCTCACCCTTTCCGACTATGTGGAGGGAATCGCCATTCCGGCGATCGAACAACAAACCTCAAGTTTCTCTCTTGGTAGGGTCTTTGTCAACATATCAGAACCATTATCATCAATGTGAATCTTCTCAAGTTCAAGTAACTTATTGTTCAACGCATCTCTGATCCAATGGTATCGCACATCAATGTGCTTAGATCTTGCATGAAAATTGGAATTCTTAGCAAGATGAATAGCACTCTGGCTATCACAAAACAACGCATACCTCTGCTGCTTGAAACCAAATTCTCTCAAGAACTTCTTTGCCCATAGCAACTCTTTAGTCACTTTCGTTGCTGCAATAAACTCTGCCTTTGTGGTAGAAAGAACAATACACTTCTGAAGTCTCGATTGCCAACCTACAGCCCCACCTGCAAAAGTGTGATACCCCTCGGATCCGAAACACGGGTTGATCAGGCCCAGGCCCAAACTCGAGGGAATACCAAAACAATTAAAGTATTTTAAAGCGAACACAGATGACAAAATGAAATAATAAAGATGGAATAAAACTAAAAGAACATTTAATTAAAAAATCCTCCATGCATAACTGAAAAATAAAACTCCAATCCTCCAAAACTTCAAGGTTACAACTTGGGAATCCATTGGTGGACCCCTAACCAAAAGTTCAACTGAAACTGAAAACTGAAAATAGATAATGCTAGAAATATCGAGAGAAGTCCTTCGTAATCAGATGAATGTGGGACTGTCCTTGACAAGCACGATCAAGCTCTAAGGCTGGAACCGTCCTGTACCTGAAAAGAACAATAAAGGAGTGGGTCAGACCCACGAGCAAGTTCTAATCTAACTGTAATCCATACAGTGACCCTATACGCAGATACACCGTAGACACTTCACAATATCTATCTAGTCCATACGTATAAATATATCCACACTAAGGGACATTCACTAGTCTATAATAGGGGTCTCAACCTGAATAGAAGGCAATATGCGAATACGCACCCAAAGGTGGGCATGAGTACCTAGACCTAACAGGGTATACCTCAACCTATTATAACCAGCTACGCATCCACCGCATATACACACCCTAACCAACGAGTCTGAGACTCAAGCTCAGCTCATGGTACCATAAACATATATATATAATCCATCCAAATCCAGGATATGTAGTTCAACTATTTATTAAACTGACATACAATAAACCAACCAGTTAGTCACTCAACTTATTCAATTGATATAACTTAACTACAATCCATTAATCTAGGAAGCCACTCAACTTAGTTGCAGTTGATATGACTTAAACAAAATTAGGATTCAATATTAATAAATCCATTCCTTAAATCCGTTAGGTTAGGTTTAGGCGTTTTGAGCTAAACTGTCCCTAGTATGTTACCGTCCCATACCGGTGCATACAATCCTCCATATCCTTATAAATTACATCATATATATAACATTTTAGTAATTTACAATCCAAAACCAATAACCAAATAATTGCAGGAAAAAGATTAACAATTTAGCAATTAAAATCCAGTATTAATCTATGTAACTACATTGAATAATTTAATATTCTAACAATTAACATCCAAAACATGCATAGTTCAAATTTGATATAACAATGACCCTATCATATTTTTAAAATCAGTTCTATAATAATATTATGGTTCAATAAATCGCTAAATTAATTTAAGCGACTTAGTTCCTTTCATCCGGTAACAGCGTACTAAGTTGTATACTTATCTTCTGTTTTATCCTTTAGCACCGAGCCACACCCTATGCCACAAGTCCAAATTTTTAAATAAAAGACTTCATCATACATCTAAAATTTAATTTAGATTCATATTATAGCCCCTTAAATTATCAAATCAAAATTAGACAATCAATTTCCTTCCAGCCGTTAACCGTATGCAAAGTTAATAAATAGCGCACTGCCAATTCCACTATTACCAAGAGGGTATTTGATGCAATTCAAGACCTTTATTACATCATAAATTATTTATTAAAAAGGCCATTAAATTTTTAAAACTATTCAAGAACCACAAGTGCCCAAACAGTAGCCAAGAAAACACAGTACGTATTAAAATGAAAGAGCCTGCTCTAGAAAAATAGAGCAGGCTCCAAATCAACATAGAGCCGACTCTACCACCACCTTGGAGCTGGCTCTAAACAGGTGGGAGCCGGCTCTTGGCATTCCAGAGCCGGCTCTCTCCCCCTACGAGCTTCCCCTCCGTTTCAGCTTCGTTCTGACCTCTGTTCTAACTCCGGCCAGTTGCAATCTTTCTGTTTGGTTTTAAAACTAATTCAAGAGTCTTATTTAAGCCTAGTATCATCCCCAAGATTTTATTAAAATAATTTGAAACCAATTACAAAGATTAAACGAAGCCATTAAACTAGTATGCTTGAAGAACAACACCGAAAACTAATTTAAGAAAAATTTCAGTTCTCTTCCAAACCCTCTGTTCCTCTTTACCACTGAACCTAAGGATCTTATATCAATCCCAATAACATCCCCATGGTTCATTTACAGAGATTAAAAATAATTCCAAAGACTAAAGTTACAACAGAGCAACATGCTTAAAGAACAAAAAACTGAAACGAGACATGCTTAAACTGTAACAGATTGATTTTCAACATAAACAGATCATTCACACGACATATATTAAACATATATTCTCCAATAATTTATTGATTAAACCCTAGAGATTATCTAGGTGCACAGAACATGAGCCAAAGAGAAGGAGAAAGAGAAAAACTTGCCTATGATTTCAGTTATGAAATCTCGGCCTCGTCTCTAAGTTTTCCGGCAATTCTGAATGCTGTCAAGCTTCCTATACCTCCGTCTCTAATCCTTACTCAACCTCCTTGATCCTCTCTGTAAAATTCCCCTCAAGCCTTGCTCTGTTTCTCTCACGTCTCTGTTTTCTCTCTGCGTTTCTTTCTTGTCTTTGATACGTGACTAGGAGTGGTATAAAGACTTTTTAAAACCCTAAGTTGTCTTAATAATATATTTATAGGTTTTAAACTAAACCCTAATCCGAAATTTCTATCCAAGAAGGAAACACAAATACCGTTATACTCTACCTTATTCAAAAACGTGAAACCCTAAAAAATAAAACCCTACGATAAACAGTAATTTAATTAAATTCAATAAAACAAATAATTAACAATACAATTAATTAACAAACCAAAATAATCAAAATGCCAATACATTCAAACAACTTTTGAAATAAAGTTCAAATAAATCAGCTAATGAAAATAAAACAAATAACACACATAATTAAACAATGATCTTAGCAGTCTAATATATATCCAGTAGCATCCCAATGATTTGTTTTGGCAGTTGAAATTTATTTATGTGACTTAAAACCCCTACCGATTCATTACGCGTTACCACAAAACTTGAAAGCTCCCACTCGATCCGTAATCATGAATGGACCGACAAACCGCGGAGACAACTTTCCTTTCTTCCCAAAGCGCATAACACCCTCCATAGGAGATACTTTGAGAAGAACCTGATCCCCAACCCGAAATTCCAAAGCACGAGTGCGACGATCAGCATAGCTCTTCTGCCTACTTTGGGCAGTACGCATGCGATCTCGAATAAGAGCAATCTTTTCAGAGGTATCCTTGATGAACTCAGGACCTAAGAATCGATTCTCTCCAACCTCCATCCAACAAACAGGTGATCGACACGGTCGACCGTATAACGCCTCAAAAGGTACCTGTGACACCCCCAACATTTTCCACACATAAGTTGATCAGGCTTATACACGAAAAACGAGGAATATCAAAAACAATTGGCAATATACAAGCATGGAATACAAAATGATGATAATA